CCCCTCCCTCAATCCACCGCCACGCTTCCAGACATTGTTTCTTCCGTTACTCATCCTGCGGGATTCACCGCCATGGCGAACCTTTGTCAATCCACTGCTGGCTGAGTGTCGCTTCACGTCGTGCGGCTCGTGAGTGTTGCTTGACCATACTTCACCACGCTGGCAAGTGCGGGTCCTTATAGTGGGGAGGTTGCCCACGACCGATTTCTGGCATCACTCGCCACGGACGACAGTCCAGGCCCGGATTAGAACTCGGGTCGCTGGATACGTAGCCCGGTGCGCTAACCGCTACCCCCCCCCCCCCCCCCATCCACGTGTAGTTACGGGCATAGACTTCCCGTATCTGCCCCGTGGGACTGTCGCTGTCAATCTCCAGGGCGCTGCGCTCCTCTCGAGGGCCGTGGGCTGTCGGCTCTTCACGAGGGCACGGCGCGGTAGCCGGGCGATCAGCAGCACGAACATTCTCACTCGGGCCTCTGTTTTAGCACGACACTGGCTCCTGTTTACCTCGGTGTGATCATTATAGCTTTAACCTCTGCTTCGTGCTGAAGCTGAATTGCATCATCTGCGGACACACTTCACAGACGGACAGAGCTAATTGATTAACGCCTTCAACCTAAGTTGTAAATTATAAAACAAAATCTCCCGCATAGTCGCACGGCCTTCCGAGAGAGTAGACCATGTCTGTATGTTGGACTTCTTTGGCATCGTCAGTGGTCAACCGCGCTAATCGCAGGTGCGGGGGAAGGACAGAAAACTAAAACACATTCAACGCAAGCAACATTCTGGACCGGTTTCCACATTCAGTGTCTCATCAGCAGGGCCAGGCTCGCCTCAAGCAGCGCGGTTCAACTGCCCCGTGACCTCTCCGTGTCCAGCGCGTGTAGGGCCCGCGCGGCGCTGCCCGACTCGCGGGGCCTCGAGCCTCTCAAGGCCCCCCCCCCCAACCCTCTCCGCCCCCACACCGCCCTCACCCCTCACCCCCCCCATGGGCCCCCCAAGTCGCGACTTCTCGCCGTGACCCGCGCCCCTTGCTCACATCGCTGGCATTTCCACCGCTATTATTAAACTGCTCTGCCACCCGACACCGCCTCGGTCCACACACCCCTCCCCACTTGCGCTGCCGGCAGCCGCCAGCCAATTTGAGCAACAACTCCCACCCCGCGTGCCCCCCCCCCGCCCGCGTGCTCAAGGGGACCGGCCCAGCGGTGGCGCACAGATTCACTGCTGGTAGCCACGGGGCCCCCTCGGTGGCCGCTGGAGACAGGGTGACACGGGGCGCTTGGGTCACTGGGGCCCGGGGAGGGGGGGGGACAGCAGTGGTGTGGCGTGACTGGTGATGGGTCCAGCCCGATGACCAGTGAGTCACGCAGAGATCCATAGGCTAGCATAGAGGCGCGTGGACTCACACGGAGACGGTATGGGCTTCAGCGCAAGGAGTTACGTTCATCCCCCGTGTTATTTTGCTCCCCCTTTCATATCCCAGTATCTGGAACCCCCATCTGGTCCTTGTGGCCTGGTGCAGCTGCACCGCCTGCACACTCGGTGCTGCTGCATGAGTAGTGTGAGTCGTGGGCAGGCGCGGGGGTCCCGCCATGCGGGACGCGTTAGGGGCACAGGGACGTGAGGAGACAGAAAGGGAGAGAGAGGGAGGGCGAGCGGCTGAGAAAGTGAGAGACGAGGGAGAGGAGTGAGTTCATGTACCTGGCAGGTGAGCGCGCAAAAGGGTACCACGTGATTGCTACAGAGGCGCGGGTCCGTGTGCGCGCACAACAAAGCCAACAACAGCGACTACAGCAGCCGATATGTCCCCCCTCTTCCTCAACCGCCCCCCCTCGTCCCCCACCCCTCTCCCCCTCGTCCCCCACACGCGGCTTCACCGATCGTCCCGTGCAGGTGAAGCTCCCCCACTTGACCTCAGGCCCGTGCGACCCCAGTGAGCAGGGCCAATGGCAAGGAAATGTTGCCACTGACCATAGAGCCGTGTACCGTAGACGGCGAGACGACTGACCGGCCTGGAAGAATGGGCCACGTTCCCATCTCGAGGGGCTCTCTAGAGCGGCCTCTAGAGCGATCAACTTCAGGGCTGCGCCTTTAGCTCTACCCGTCCTCTCACACCGAGTATCCCAGTGGCGTGGCTATCGCGTGCGCAGGCGGTGCAGCTGCCACGGGGCCCACGGGCACGACGTCAGCTCGCTGAGTCTATGATTCCCTATCCATGATCTCTGTGTGAGTCTATGGGTCCCTATGCAAGTCTATGGGTCCCTATGCAAGTCTATGGGTCCCTATGCGAGTCTATGTGTCTCGATGTGAGCCTGTCTTCCAGGACACAACAACAGTCGCAGCGATGAACACGCATCTGCTATAATTCTCGTTCTCATTGAACATCTCTCTCCATGTGGAGACTTAGCAGCGGACAAATTCGCATCAACAACACTGCGCTCTTTCCTTGCCCCACAAACCGTGAAAATTGCCCTTGCCAGCGACTCCTCCTCACCCACAGCCACCACTAGCACCATCATCATTGTCACATCTGCGCTGGGCAGGGGATAAGGAGGCGAGGTACCTGAGCTGATTAATTTTTCACGGAGCTGCAGGGCGCAAGACAATGAGAGGAGCGTGGAAAGAGCCCGCGGCCAGAACAATAGCGGCCAGAACAATAGCGGCGACATCTGCCCGCGCACCACCACCGCCACCACCACTCCCACCGCTCCCCTCGTTACATGGCCCTCATCATCGACCCACACTGAGGCTCGGTGATGAGGGCTCGGTTCTGCAGAAGTTCACTGAGGGGGTCGTGACAGCAACCTATACCAACAACTACTACCGACAACAACTACCAACAACAACATCCCACTACCAATAGCCACTACCAACAACAACTACTAACGATAACTACCTATACCAACAAGCACAACAACAACCACTCACAACAACCACGAACAATTGCCGAGAGTGGTCAAAATGTATTGAATGAAAACTAACAACCATAAACCATAACAACCAACTTTTACAACACACCACCACCACCAAAAAGTGGTGAACAACCACCACCAAAAGTAGACAACAACCACGCGCCAACATTTATCAACCACCAAAAGTGATTAACACGCACGAGTGGTGAAACACCAATCACCACCACCACCACCACCCACCACCACCTCACCTGGCCCCGCGCTGCTGCTGTGGCGAGCCCGGCGCTGTGTGTCCACTCTCTGCGTGAGCTCTGCTCTTCTCAGCTCTTCTCTCCCAACTGTCCACACATTTACAAACCCCCCTCGGCTGCCTCTGCTGCTGCTGCTGCCTCTACTGCTGCCGCTGCCTCTGCTGCTGCTGCCAAAACGGCAAATTCAGCTGTGACAGCCGCCCCGGCTCTGGGGAGGGGGTGTGGGGTGTGAGGGGGTGAGGCTTGTGGAGTGGGGGGGGGGGGGGGCAAAGGGGGGGGTTTTGGGTGATGGACACGTGCTCACAGGGGTAAAGATCCAGCCACTCATCCCCCCCCCCCTTCACCGAATCGTTCCGTGTTACGATTCAAGAATCGATGTCGATGCTTGCCTCGTTCGGGCTGTCTCTCTGCTACGTGGTGAGCAGCAGAGGGCGGTACAGAAACGTCCCCCGTTGTTGTGCTGTGACGCTATGCTCCCAGGTCCATGCTGCTCGCCTTTCACCAACCAACTCGCACTGACCAGCGTGGTGAATTATGGTCAAGTAACCCCCCCCCCCTCCTCCCTACGACTCGCACGGCGTGGTCAGGCTCTCATCCATCATATTGTCTGTCTCGTTTGCATTGTCCGTCTCATTCGTATTGTTCTTCTCGTTGGTATTGTCCGTTTCTCTCCATTAGCATGAACGTAACATTTACAAATTATTTTCATGCAATTTATATACATCGTTAATAATCGATTCCTGTACATGCGATTCGATGCTTGTGCTTCGGACGTAACAATCGATTCCCATCGATTGTTGGTGTCAGGCTCGAGTCGAGGAATGTGGAAGTCGGCACGCGCGGTGAATGAGACGCAACAGCTGCAGCCAGTCTGCGCTGCTTTTGGCACCTAGAGGCCGGTGTAATGGGCAGCCGGAATCGTCCGGAGCATCGTTCTGATGATCATTTAGCACGCCGGGTCCATCTCGATGGGGATACAGGGTACAACAATAATATTATGGACAGACGTCCCATGCACTCTCGTGGTGGTGCCTTACGCCGATGATCCCTACTCCAAGCCAGCTCCAGCAGCGATCTGGAGCATAGCGAGTGACAAATTCATCGCTGGGGATTCGGGTTGGGTAGGAATAAATTACGTTCGGGTTAGATCGTTGGGTTATATTTAAGGGTTATATTAGGGTTATGGTTAGTGAATATGATTGGGGTCAGGGTACCTGTTTGGGGATATTCGTAGGGGATGTGGTAGTGTTAGTGTTCGGGCAATGGTTGGAGTTATTGTTCGGGGTTGGGGTTCGAGTTGATGTAGTACACTTGTTGGCTGTCGCACTATCAGAGCAGTCGTGTGACCCGAGCCGCAGCTTCCTCTCAGAGCCCCTCGGGAAGGGTGTGGGGGGCTTAAGGACCAAGAGGTCCGGATAACTCAGGGTTCCTAGGGGACTTAAGCGTGGAGTCGCCGAGGCACCGATCCCGTCTCTACGCAGCGCGGGATGTAGTATCGGATTTCCCGGGGGGGTCGCGGCTGTGCGATGACTTCTCCTGTCAAGCGAAGGCATCGCAGCGGCAACGGGGAGGGGGAGCTGGGTGGGGGGGGGGAGTGGAGGGGGGTTGGGTGAGGGGTCCGGAGGTGAGGACGGCAGAGGAGAGGGGGAGGGGTGGTGGGGCAGCGAGCGTCCTCCTGACAACGAGAAGTGGGCCCTGCTGGACTGGGCCACTGTAGAACAGTCGTCACCGTTGGCTGGGAAGATTCAGTCGGGACAATTGACCCCCCCCCCTTTGTGTCCCCTGCTATGGCCCCCGCCCGTGGGGGTGGAGACGCCCTCCATGACTCCCTTACCTGCTCCTCCAGGGGTTCTGGCTCTTCCAGGGGGTTCCACTCAGCGTGCTCGCGGACCAGCGCGCTGACGAGTCTGTGGAGGCAGCAGAGGTGAGGGTTGCTCCATTGTCACCGCCGCGTGCTGCAGGCCCAACCCAGCGCGCTCCACGACGCACACGGGGAGCGGGGATCCGTGACGCGCGTCGGCGGGTCGCCGCCTCGTCCGCCACTGACCCTGCGACTCAGATCCACCCGCGGTAGTCCTGCAAGCCTCGTGATGGAACTGGCCAACGGCGTGTTCACAGTGGAGCCACGGTAAAACCCATCCCGTTATTGTCCGCGGCGCTCGTCCGGGAATAGCGGAGCCCAGGCGCGAGTCGTTAAACACACAGGGAGCGCGACGCGCAGGAATTCACGAAACATTCCCGACGCCCCCCCCCATCGCTCTGTGCCCCCCCCCCCCCCACTGCCATCCGCTCGCACCCTCCTAACCCCTCCCCCCGTCAGCGGCCGCTTTGTGATGCGGACAGCGGGAAGGGGGGTGGAGGGGGGTGGAAGGGGGTGGAGGGGTGGAGGGGATGGAGGGGGTGGAGGGGTGGAGGGGGGTGCTGCTGAACTCGAGCCAGGGTCCTCATCGCCGGGGGTCGCTGAGACGCGCAACGGGGACGGACGCGGAGGAGCGATCGGGACGATGGGGCTATGGGCGCCTCCGAGCGCCCAGGGGAGCTGCAGGCGAATGTTGTCCCCAGATCGCCAAGAGACAACGCCTCTTGCCCGACACACAGCACAGAAGAGGTGGGGGCCCTGTTGGCCCGGGGGGTGGGGGTCCGGGGCCCCGCGTTCCCAGGCGGTCGGGTTACAGTGCGCGCGGGCACAGAGGGGCCTTTCTCTACCGGGCACGGACTCGTCGCCACGCACCTTCCCCTCTCTCTCCCTAGAGAAGGGGCTCTTTCAGGAGGGGTCTGGGGGACGGGGGGGGTGAAGAGGAGAGGGGCTCTCTGGTCAGCGAGTCGCTGCACGCTCGCCACTCCACGCGCAGACCGCGCCATTCGCTTGCGCGCTGCCGCGTCACACGTCAATAGCACCGGGGCTCTGAAGGAAAATTAAACACATGATAGACGACGTTTCGGGCAATGGCCCTTCTTCATAACACAGATGCGTCAATACCCGAAACGTAACCTCGTGTGTATTTTTCTCTTTGTTTAGGCCACGGTGTTATTGACCGAATGTGTTGAGTTTGTCTCTATTCGTGTTAGTATTATTATTAACTGTGCTTGTGCACAATCGCCAACGCAGCGGCAGCTTCTCACCAAACAATTCGCTTCACAGGCGGTGGGAGTTGAACAGGGACCGGCATCTCCAGCGCCTGCAGGTGGGTTGGGCGTTCGTTCCGGGTTGAGGGCTCTGAGCCGCAGCCTTCCCGGGGCTGGCTCCGTCGGGAACGGCGCCGGCCACGAGGCCTGCGGCAGCAGCGGCAGCAGCGGCGCCGCTTCCCCTGGGAGCTCCTGGGACGCTTCGCTTCGTTTGCCCCCCCCCCCCGCGCCCCCCCGCGCCCTCCGCACCCTGCAGCGTGCTATTGCTGGCTTGGGGAGGCCTTCATCTAGCAGTGGATAGCTCTTCATTGCTGATGCTACAACTGCTGCTGCTGCTGACGACGAAGTTTAAATGTCTCAATGCCCGATGCATCGTTTTTCTTCACACTCAACAGAGCATTTTGTCTGCCTCCCTTGGAAGAGACACTTTGACGACACGTCATTATCTATCCACTGCTGGTTGAAAGCCTCCCTGAGCCGTCGCCACCCATCTCACTCCTGCGCGTGAACCGATCTCACCGCTCCATCTCCGCGACGGTCGTCTCCTCGGGAGCGGTCTCTCTCCATCGGCTGCTACTCGGGCCCGCGCGGGAGCGGGTTGGGAGTCGGAGTCATTGGCAGGAACGCGCGGAGTCGTCACGCGCACTCGTGGAGTCGCGTGCGCGCGCGTTTTTATTGACGGCTCTCTGAGCCAGCGATGGAAATTCCACATTCGCATGGCGGGCAATGGTCCGCACACAGAAGCGACCACTGCTGACGTGACACGGAGCGGGGATCGCTGTTCGGGAACTCGGGGGACGTTGCCGACGCAAGGTGCACGCACGCGAGAATTTCGAACGCTACACGTGACAGTCGAAGAGTCGAAGTTTGCGCGCGACTTCGGAAGAAGTCACCGTGCCCACCGAACTCCAGACGAACAAATCCGCTTGCGAGGTGAATCGGTCCGAGTTTTTGAGACTCGCAAAACTCACACCAAGCCGTGGATACGCGGAGTCCGCGGCGGGAGGAGTTTGGGAGCCCCCCCCCCCCCCGACTGCTTGACCCACACTTACCTGTACAACGCGACCCCGTCCCGCAGCGCGCAGCGAAGATCCACGCCTTCCAAGCTGACCCCCGTCACGGCCTGGGAGACCGCGCCGGGCAGCAGGGAGGGAGGCGCAGCGGGTAAGGGGATGGAGGCCGGCACCGGGGCGCGGGCAGCAGGGAGGAGGGAAGGGCGCGCACACATCGCTTCATTATTCAGGGCGCTCTCGCTCGTCAGCGCGCGGATCGGGTGTCCGCGCGTTCCCTACAAAGCGGCGCGACAGCGGCACCACCAGCAGCAGCAGCGGCACCTCCCGCCCGCCCGCCCGTCACGCTCACCTCAACCCAGCGCCGAGCTTCCTCCGCCGCAGCGCGGATCCGGGAATCCCGGCGGGGTTCCTGCGAAGCCATCGGGGGGTGCATGGGGCGAGGGGCGGCCAGGGTGGAGGGGGGGGTCGCTCGGGACTTGACGTTCACGCCTCGCCCGCGCTCCGTCTCCTCCGTGGCGGTTCGCGCGCGGCGCGGCTCCAGCCTCCCCGGTGTGGAGGAGCAGTGACCCGGGGGTAGCTAAGGGGCTCGCCCCCCCCTTCCCTCACTCTCTACCTCCGCCCCCCCTCTCCTCGCCAGGCGTTGCTCTTACACGAGTTGGGACCCCCCCCGCCCCCTGTCGAGTCGCTGCTGCCCCCGCGTCGCTGGGGGGATGAGCCGACCTCGCGCGCCGCTCGCACTCCGCGCATGCGCATCGCGGCGCGACGCACGGGAGGAGCGGTGGGGCAGAGAAGTTGAAGTCGGGGGAGAGGGAGGGGGCTCGCGGAGAGAGGGTGGCGACGTGTAGACACGCGCCTCGAGTGCTGGCCACCCACCCCCTCGTGTGCCGCGCCGGCCTTCATAGGCGCTCGCTAACAGCGCTGGCCCCGAATGGAGGTTACATCTCTCAGGGGGGATCTTTGGCTTTGTTAAGTTCTGATCGGTATGGCTCACGTGCCTTGTACACTATCATCGTCATCATCGTTATCATCATCAACATCACATGTCATTGTCGCGATTGGAAATCATCAGTCGGCTATCACTTAGCCAAAACATTATCAAGGGGTCAGTCAGCATAAATCAGTCGTTATCATCATGAATTCGTGATTATCACCCACGGCAAGCCATTATCATTGCAGTTGTCGTCGTCATCAATCTTCAATGTCAATGGTCATCAACCTCATTACGTCATTAAACTACGCTTTCATATAAATCAATGCGGGGGTGTGTGGAGTGGGCACTGAGGGGCGGGCTTCTCTCCACGAACTGTGAAGCGTTGATCAAAAACAGCCCCTCCCCCTGGTCCCTCCCTCCTCATCTCCCTCTGCTCTCATCACCCCTCCCCCTCCCTCCCTCCCTCTCTCCGTCCCTCTCCCTCCCTCCTTCTTTTTTTTTATTTCCCTCCCTCCTTCTGTCCCTCTCCCTCCCCCTCTCCCTCCCTCTCCCCGCTCTCCCGGTGACGTCGTCACGTCTCGCTGCACTCCGGAGCCGCCACGCGCGCTCCCTGCCTCCCCTCCCTCCCCGCCCTCCCCTCCCTCCCTTCCTCCCCTCCCTCCCCTCCCTCCACTCCCTCCCTCCCTCCCCTCCCTCCCCTCCCTCTCCCCCCCGTGGAGTCCCCGGGGAAGTTCAGCCCCTGGAGACGTTCGGCCACCGCCGTGGCGACAGGCACGAGGCGACGTGGGGGGCGAGCGGGGGATGAGTTACCCTCACATCGGCTATTGTGGGTTTAGTTCCGTTTAGCTCTGTCCACGATGGTCACTCAAGAACTTGTTCGTCTAACGGCAATGTTAGTACTCTTTGGGCAATATGCGTCTAAGTGCAATGTTGGTCTATGCATGTATCTAGAACTTCGTTCGCACCGTACGTAGCCAACCGTGCTCATCGGAGGTGAGGAAGTACAACAAACTTTATACAAAAAATCAGTTCAAAATAAATTAGCTTTCAATCTACGAGCAATGTTAGTCGCTGGACAATGTTCGTTTATGGCAATTCTAGTCTATGGGCAGTGTTAGTCTATGGGCAGTGTTTGTCTATGGGCAGTGTTAGTCTATGGGCAGTGTTAGTCTATGAGCAGTGTTTGTCTATGGGCAGTGTTAGTCTATGGGCAGTGTTTGTCTATGGGCAGTGTTAGTCTATGGGCAATGTTAGTCTGTGAGTCTCGATTTTAGTTGATGGGTTAGTATATAAACCAATAGGCCTCAGTGACGTAGCGTGGCCTCCTGTCCGCCTGGGCGTCTCCGGCCCGTGGGTGCTGGCGCAGTTGCACCGCCTGCACACCCAGGAGCGACGCCGCGGGCCGCTCCACCGTTGTGGCAGCTGGCGAGTCGTGAGCAGTCCCACCCCGTGGTCGGCAGGCGGCGGAGGGGCGACGCGGGGCGAGAATGCGCGTGGCGAGTCTACAGAGTTCTCTCCGACCCACAGAGATTCGATGGGCTCTGACGATTCATAGCTTCGAGCGATTAATCGTCACCATCTCCATCGGCCATGGTCAGTCCACTGCTGGATGAAGTTCTCCCCCGAGCTGTCCCCAAGTTCTCACGCGGCCCTGCGATGTAATGATCCGCTCAGCGCCTGCTCGACGCACCACGATTTTATTTCATCATCGCTCCGTCTCCCCCTCCTCGGTGGGACGTCCTCTCGGACGCGTTCCTTGCCTTGGCTGCCGCTCCGTCATCATCCTTGACCATCGTCCCTCCTGTCCGTGACGCCTCCTGCCCAAGCCCCACTCACTTCGCGCGATGCCATCCCACGCGTCTTCTCTCGTTCACGTGTTCCCCTTCCTGTCTTTCAACTCGGGAATTAAAGACACAAGCCACAGTGGTGCGACTGTGGCCACGCGACCCAGGCTATGGACCTATAAAGTCAACTAGAGACACATGGAGACTCAGGGAGATACATTTAAGAAAAGCCATAGCAGTGCGATTGGAGCATTTCAACCCAAACTATATACCACGTAGTAAATCCATAGAGACTCATACAGTATATATATATATATACATTGAGATCCATAGAGAGCCATAGAGACACATTGAGTTAAATAAAAAGCAAGTCATAGTGCGATTTGGGCACTGTAATTCAACCAGGGATGTGGACTGCCTCGTCAACCCGCTGTGACCTGCGCTTGTACCACGTGGGAGGAAGAGCAGCGACACGACGCGAGCTCTCTCTGCTGAAGCCCTCTCGTCGCGGCCACCAGCAGGCATCGGCCTCGAGCTCCTCACCAACATTCTACCGCTGCTGCTGCTATCTTGCTGCTGAATGTTATTACAACCACGCATCTCTCTCTCCACACTTCTTGGCAAATAAAAAAAACACCTTTCAAATGAAAAACCGTTGCGTTTGAATGAATGACGGCTCAGATGTGCAATGCTGGGTTGGGGAGATTCGTGAGCGCCGATAAGACCGCGCCTCCATGCCCATGGACCTTCAGCCCGGGTCATTTCCCGCACGGGAGCGTTACGCACGCGGCCCAGCGCTCTGTGCCGTGACTGGAACCGCAGGCGCCTCTCACTCAGCCTTTCCCCTCTGCCTGGCCATGGTGAAGCAGCGCCAGCAGCACGGGGATTCCAATTGCCGTCAGCAAAGAGAACGCAACTCACTTGCGGAGTAACCGCGTCAGCCAATTACAATCAACCAGCTCGGCTTTTAATAGAAGCGGACTTTCTTCCAAAACAAAGTGCAGAGTTGATAACAAATATTATTTTCCGTATTTTTATCACCCGCGAGTTATTTTTATTCACTGCAGTGGAAAGTTTGGGTTTTTTATTTCGCGTGAAGCACACGCACTCCAGTTCACTGACGAGAACTAAAAGGTCAAAACCGGCCCCAGGGTTGTGCTCACTTCAACAAAGGCTGCCGGAGGATATTTTCTGGAAAGCCAACGATCAGATGATGGTCGAGACTAAATAAATAATGTGAACAAAGAGAGACACGCACACGATTCAACTCCTTCAGATTCCAAGAACACAGGATGAGATGTTACTATCATTTGTGCAAGCACTTCCAAGAGTTCATGAACAGTGAGCCTGGTGAAATTTGGGGAGCGCATCGTCAGTAGTGAACCTTTGGTTCCTAGGGTGTTTCGGCCTTTCATACTATACACCCTCACCAAAGGCGGCCAGCGACAGGGTGATCAATCCTGCGCTTGCGTCCCATTCCCAATTAGTCATTGGAGTTGCCTTGTTGTTGATAGCCAACATCCCATCACAAATCCGTCCCGTGAACAATAACAACCCAACGCGTCTCTCAATAACACCGGGCCTTAACAGGTACAATATAAAATGGGTGACGTTTCGGGCAATGCCCCTACTTCATAGCACACAAATAGAGAGGCGCAGACTGGACGATGATATTTGGGGACTGACTGCGAGTATTTCCATCGTGGGGCCTGCTGATGAGAATGATTAGATCTTAAATTATGCTTTCTGATCAGACCCGTTTTAAACTGGCACGTTTATAGTTAGTTATCAAAGACATACTGTTATTTATTTAAATAAAATATGTACGACACATCCCGTCAGCCGTACGACCTGTATAATATCAGCAGCACCAATACAAGGCAACGTAACGGTGTTGATGCGGCGTGTGGAGACGCAGACTGGAGTCGTGCTGCTGTTACGCTGAGTGAAATGAAGACGCCAGAATAATCGCAGCGCGTAGGTTTATTGCTGAATTTTGGCGCGACCACCGCGTACATTTATGTTACAATGCGACTTGGGGGGGGTGGGGGGCTCGCACGGCTCCCGAGAAGTGAGTCTCCCGGCCTACCGGGCACTCGGTGGCGAGAGCGGTGCGACTCGGACCGCGTCGCCCCCGCACACGAGGCGCTCTCAGTCGATGGAGACAGAGAGGGGCGGGGGGCGACTCAGGGACGCCTGGAAGAGGAAGCCCAGGCGAGTGGGAGGCAGCAGCAGCCACGCGGTGGTGACGCGGAGCCACATACCCCCCCTCCACCCTCAAGCTCTGCGGTCCCCTGTGCATGAAGGTGTTCTCGGCCAATGAATGAGTGCTTAAACACGTGTGAGGGAAACCGGAGTGCCTGGAGACGCCGCACGCGTGCGAATATGGCAACACTCTCTCCCGTACAGACGGACCATCTGCGCGCTCCCTCTCGGCAGAGTCGTCAGGGTGTGGCTTCCTCCTCGACGCACACGGAGAGCGAGTTTCGCGACGTCCGTGTGGTGATCCATCAACCGTCGCCTGGCTCGTGCGGGCCTGTGCCACCGCCACGTCACGACAAGTCGAGCAGGGGCTCGTGCGGGGACTGCCGCCAGAAATCACGAACTCAACACATTCGTCAATAACGCCATGGCCCTAAAAGGAAACATAGTAATAGGCGACGTTTCGAGCAATGACCCTTTTTCATAACACGTGTCATTGCGACACAATGACGGGTCATCATAGAACATGTGCTCTAAAGAAGGGGCATTGCCCAAAACGTCGGCTATCATCTATTAAATGATATACTCCTGACTTGGAGTGACTGGCGCGTGATTTTGTGCTCTCCCGACAACGCAGCACTGTTCGCGATTCCGAGTAAGGGGCTGAGTTAGAATCCAGCTCGTTCAGAACTCAGCTCTTAGAGTCCTTGCGCGCACACCGTTTCACGAGCGGCACAGCACACAGCTGCTCCCTTTCCTTTGCCCTGGCTACTAGTCAAGTATCGAATGGACTGTAAGACCCCGCTGCTGCTGCTGCTGATCTACAAGGGACTCAATGGGTTAGCCTAGCAACATCTACAGGAAATGATCCGTGTTGACTCTCCAACGAGGTCCTGGAGATCTTCGCACCGCCTTCTTCTAAGGACTCTGAGATCAAGGCTCTGTTCCTGGGCTGACCGGGCTGTTGTCACTGTATTTCAGTCAGTCTTGGAAACTCGCCTCTTTAACGTGGCCTCTATACCATGTCTAGTCCTGGCGTTTACCCTGCAGGTTCTGTTCATTTCCTGATGTGCGTACACGGAGCGCATTGGTGGGACCCACGGTCCTCGAGAAACAGGGCAGCTTCTCGCACAGGGAGAGTCACTCACTCCGTCACCGTCACGATCTCGTTGAAAGTCACTCACTCCGAGATAGTCACTCACTCCGAGACAGTCACTCACTCCGAGACGATGACTGCAGCTCATACGGCCCGGGATGACGTCGGCGTGTCCGCATGATGTCATCGCTCGCGTGACGAGGATTCGTGAGCCTCTCGGCGATGATGATGATGATGACGATGATAATTAAGAGGTTTATCTTTTTCATGATTTCCGTTTAGTTACTATTCATATTATTAAAGGTGGATAAGTTGAGATAGATTCATATTCAGAGCTATGCTGTTCATGATGTTTTAAACATTACGATGATGATCTTGATTATATGAAGGATGGTTATCGATTGATGTGAACATTATTATGAAAGCGATGATTGCAGATGACGACGACACCGACGATTAATAAAAAAAGGTCACCTTTATAAATTCGTAACCATTTCGAAAATGTCGATGATAATGATTATAGATGTTGCTTAGCCTCATGATATATAGACTATATATACGGTATAATTATATATATATACCTGCTGTAGTGGACTCATCCGCCCGGCGCGTGCGAGGGGAATCCGCGGGGTGATTGACGCTGCGAGCAGTGTAGAGAAATGCGCGCCATGTGTGCGCGACAGCACTTGCCCCAAGTGTGTCTCTGTGTGTGTGTGTCTCTGTGTGTGTGTCTCTGTGTGTGTGTCTCTGTGTGTGTTTCTGTGTGTGTCTCTGTGTGTGTCTCTGTGTGTGTCTCTGTGTGTGTGTCTCTGTGTGTCTCTGTGTGTGTCTGTGTGTGTGTCTCTGTGTGTGTCTCTGTGTGTGTGTCTCTGTGTGTATCTCTGTGTGTGTGTCTCTGTGTGTCTCTGTGTGTGTCTCTGTGTGTGTGTCTCTGTGTGTCTCTGTGTGTGTATCTCTGTGTGTGTGTCTCTGTGTGTGTGTCTCTGTGTGTGTCTCTGTGTGTGTGTCTCTGTGTGTGTCTCTGTGTGTGTGTCTCTGTGTGTGTCTCTATGTGTGTGTCTCTGTGTGTGTCTATGTGTGTGTGTCTCTGTGTGTCTCTGTGTGTCTCTGCGACCCGAGTTCGATTCCCGCTCACGATCAACACCAGTGTTGATTTCCTGAACCGGTTCTGGGCCTCCCCCTAGGTTGACTCAGCCGCAAATGAGTACCTGGTGCGGTGTCTAACATCGCCACTGGGACACTGTCGGCCCGTCGTGGTGCTGGTCACCCACCCCTTTGTGTGCTGTGCCGGTCTTCATAGGTGCTCGCTAACAGCACTTGCATCAAAAGTCTGTTACATGCTTTGCAGGGGATATTTGTCTTTGTGTAAAGGGAACATATATATATATATAGGTGCAATATACAGTCACGAGATGTCTTCTCTGTGCAAACTCGCAGGATCGAATCCTCCATCCGCTTTCTCCGTGCACTTCGTCTCTTCCTCCTCCTCCTCTTCCTCCTCCTCCTCGTGTCTCACACGACTCGCGCGCAGCTCCGCGTGTGGCTGTTGGCTGTGCACATGGCGGTGTTCCAGGGTGAGACGCGAGATCGCGGGCTCCCAACTACAATCGCAGCCCTCACTCCAAGCTCAACCCAATCCCTGACCGTAGCCCTCTAACCCTATCACTGACCATAATCACGGAACCTCAACCCTCTCCCTGACCATAACCTCTTAATCCCAATATCAACAGTGGGATGGGAATACAAAAAAACAAGGTTGTGGTGAGGGTTATATAACGGAGGGTTAGGATTGAGGTTAAGCATCGGGATAGGGTTGGGGCTAAGGATAGAGTTGGTGTTAAGGATGTTGTCGGGGTTAGGGGTAGGGTCGGTGTTAGGGGTGTATGTTTGTTGAACTTCTTTCGCAGCACACGTAGCCAACCGTGCTGATCGGAGGTCGGCACAGTTGATGATATTGTTACTGTGACCCCAACTCCTGTCGCAGACGCCTCCTTTCAACTTTCACGTGCAAGGTAACGAATGAATCGCGTGCAGAGAGGGGGGGTTGTTCTGGCTGGGGGCGTGTGGGGTTGGGGGTTACCTGTGGCCTGCGGCGCAGCTTTGGGGGTCTCCGGGGTCACGTAGCGGTCACTGTCGGTGTCTGTGGGAGAGAGGCGCTCTGTCCGTGAGACGCGGAGGAATCCCTTCGGAAACCCGCGGAAGTGTCTATCGCGCGACTACTTCTGAGATCCCTTACAATGCCCTCCGATGTCAGATTTCTTTTCCCCGCACACTACGCGCCAATTAGTAAGTGATTATTATACACGTGCAAGGAAATCGGAGCATCCGGAGAAACCCCACGCGTGCGAGGGGCAACGCTCGATCCCATACAGCTGGAAACAGATGGCGATGAGTCCACACTTTGCTGTCCTGCATTGAGCTGGCGAGTCAGGGTGTGGCTCTTCCTCGACTGCCGCGGGGAAGGGAGCCTCGCGACGATTGTCATCGTGCGCGATGGTCCACCAACCCTCGCTACTGCTGCTGCTGCCCCCAAAGCGCTGCATCACAGCAGTCACGTGCAGCAGCGGAGCCACCACCACCACTACCACCACTACCACCACCACTACCACCACCACCACCACCACTACCACCACTACCACCACCACTACCACCACTTCCACCACCACTACCACTACCACCACTACCACCACCACTACCACCACCACTACCACCACTACCACTACCACCACTACCACCACCACTACCACCACTACCACCACTACCACCACTACCACTACCACCACTACCACCACTACCACTACCACCACTACCACCACCACCACCACCACTACCACCACTACCACCACCACCACTACCACCACTACCACCACTACCACCACCACTACCACCACCACCACCACTACCACCACTACCACCACCACTACCACCACTACCACCACCACTACCACCACCACCACTACCACCACTACCACCACAGCCACCACCACCACTACCACCACCACTACCACCACTACTACCACCACCACTACCACCACTACCACAGCCACCACCACCACTACCACCACCACTACCACCACTACCACCACAGCCTCAGCCACCGTCCGACTCTGAATCGTAGCGAGGGGGGTGCGGGGGGGTGGGGCTCTTACCTGAGTCGTTCTCAAACGCGAAGTCCTCGCACGTGCGCTGTCTGCAGGAGACAGAGAGAGAGAGAGCGTCCGTGCGTGAGCCATGCCACCACCACGTCGCTCCATTTACAGCGCTAACTTGCAGTGACATTTTACAAAAAACAATACAACCTTGCCCTTCAATACTGCGGTTTGCCGACCAGAACAAAATCATCAATTGGAATATTTGCCCACTTGACAACTCGATATGAGTGGCCACGATGTGTCTGGAGCGAGGCCCGAGGCACCCTCTCGTCAGGATGGTCCGATCCGAGCGGACCTCAAGCACCAGCGCTGTGACTCTGCAGTCTGCAGGGACCTCCAGCACCAGCGCTGTGGCTCTGCAGTCTGCAGGGACCTCAAGCACCAGCGCTGTGACTCTGCAGTCTGCAGGGACCTCCAGCACCAGCGCTGTGACTCTGCAGTCTGCAGGGACCTCCAGCACCAGCGCTGTGGCTCTGCAGTCTGCAGGGACCTCCAGCACCAGCGCTGTGACTCTGCAGTCTGCAGGGACCTCCAGCACCAGCGCTGTGGCTCTGCAGTCTGCAGGGACCTCAAGCACCAGCGCTGTGACTCTGCAGTCTGCAGGGACCTCCAGCACCAGCGCTGTGACTCTGCAGTCTGCAGGGACCTCAAGCACCAGCGCTGTGACTCTGCAGTCTGCAGGGACCTCAAGCACCAGCGCTGTGGCTCTGCAGTCTGCAGGGACCTCAAGCACCAGCGCTGTGGCTCTGCAGTTTGCAGGGACCTCAAGCACCAGCGCTGTGACTCTGCAGTCTGCAGGGACCTCAAGCACCAGCGCTGTGACTCTGCAGTCTGCAGGGACCTCAAGCACCAGCGCTGTGACTCTGCAATCTGCAGGGACCTCAAGCACCAGCGCTGTGGCTCTGCAGTCTGCAGGGACCTCCAGCACCAGCGCTGTGACTCTGCAGTCTGCAGGGACCTCAAGCACCAGCGCTGTGACTCTGCAGTCTGCAGGGACCTCGGCCACATGGAGACGCGCAAGGGGCTTGCTCCCTTACCAACGGCCACGCACTTCAAGTGCCGCTAGACGCCTGGCAAAAATAACACGATGTGTGGACTTAAAGGATATCCTTAGGCGACGTTTCAGGTGAAGAGCCTGCTTCACAGCACATAAATAAGCGTTGCTCAATAGTCGCTTGTTACGTGGTGTGTCGTGTTCAGGCCACGCACACAGTGCTGTTGTAATTCACGAATGTGTCAAGTGTGGTGGTGTTGTTGACTATGATTGTGCGTCACTGTCATCGCAGTAGCAGCATCGCCAACATCACTTGTTTAACATCGTGTGTGTGTGTGGTTAGTCCTCTCTGTGTGTGTGTGGTTAGTCCTCTCTGTGTGTGGTCAGTCCTCCCTGTGAGTGTGTGTGTGGTTAGTCCTCTCTGTGTGTGTGTGGTTAGTCCTGTGTGTGTGTGTGGTTAGCCCTGTGTGTGTGTGTGGTTAGCCCTGTGTGTGTGTGGTTAGTCCTCCCCGTGTGTGTGTAGTTTGTGGTATAAATGGAGGCGCCCTCAGATGTGCGGCTTACCGTGACGCTTGATGCAGAACGCGAATGTCATCTGCAAAACAAAACATAAATAGATTTAGATCACATAAACACATTGTTATAATTGTTATCGCGAAGTCACGTAGCATGTAGGCATTGCCTTCAAGCCACAGTGCGACTGTGGCCATGCAGCACAGACGAGAGAGAGATTCAGAGGAGCGCAAACCCACAGAGAAGCGGGGCAGGCAGCGAGAACAGACCACGTGTCCAAGCCCTGTGGCCCTCGACTGCGATGTGTGTCCAACCCGCCTGATCTCGACACTCCAGGTACAGTTTGACCTCTTTCGTTCTCGCCAATTGTTCTGCCGCTTTTTGTGTTGGGTATGAATATTAGTAATAGTATCGGTGCCCCTATATTTCCCCAGGAAAGCAGCAGTGAGTCTCAAGACACTGTTCTCGGGAGGCCCCTGCTACTTTGGGATTTGGCCAATTCAGCTTCAAATGAGTTGAACCTCGTGTGTGTGTGGGGGGGAGGCAAACCGGAGCACCCGGGGTAAGCACGCACGCGCGAGCGCCAGGGTACGGCGACTCCTCAACGCCCGCGGGTGGAAGGGAGTTTCGCAACACGCGTGCGTGTACCACCAACCCTGTCTTCTGGCCACCCGCAGTGCCGGATTACGGGCAGCCACGCCACGTGCAGCGGCGTAGCCACTGCGACCTGGCGCGTACCTGGCTGCATTTCCCTGCGTCTCCTCTTCACCAGAAGCCAGACGAGCAGCGCGGCGATGATGATCGTCGTGGGGATGGCGGCGAGGGTGGCGAGCAGCCAGGGGGGCCAAGCGAAGCTGTGCGCATCGTGGGGAGAGGGGGGCCCCTGCGCCTCCATCATCGCCGCGCTCATCTTCCCGCACCCCCACTGCTTCGATGAAGGCGAATCTAAAGATGGTATGGGGATAGTGGGGAAGGGGGGGGGGCAAACACATAGAGGCACGTGTTACTAAACACAACTATGATTATTTTACCAGGTAAGACCCACTGAACTATGAAGCTCTTTTTTTTCAGAAGCGACCTGGCCACTAATGATGTCCGAGCCACGCGGTTACTACTGCTGCTGCCCCCCTCCCGTCTCTTGTGAACTGACGAGTTCCGAGTGGGAAGAGTTGCGGCTGGCGGGATGGGGGTGTACTGCTGTGTGTGGTGCTGTGTAGGAGCCCCCCATTTTGGCTTTCTACTTTGTAACACCGGTGATTAATCCGCCCCCCCCCAATCCTCTCTCCCTCCTCCCTCCCCCGAATGGGTAACCGAATCGTTGGAAACGAAGCGTGCTGTGACCGCCGGTGGTGGCTCAAATCTTTGGTGGTACAGCGCCGCGGTAGCCTGGTGCTTTGGTTGTGGTGGTGTGCGGTGGTGGGGGCTGGGAGGGTGGGGGTGGTGAGGGACTGCAGCTCGCGAGGCCGTCTCGCCGAGGCGTGCGACTCACGGGCGAAGGTGAGGCAGTACTCGGCACGCCGCCCGCGCCTCTCGCACGCCCACACGCCCTGCGAGCTGCTCTGGGCGCCACGCACCGCCAGCTCCACGCCTCGCCGCTCGGGGTCTCGCTCGCCGTTGCGCCACCACGCGACCGCCTCGTCGGCCGCGCCCGCCGAGCCCCGCGCGGCGCACCGGAGGGTGATGTTCTGCGACTGTCGCACGGGCCCCGGGTGGTCTGACACCACCACCACGGGCGCGTCGCAGTCTGCCAAATAGACACGCGCACGATGCTCGACGCGAGATCCGTAGTCGCATCGCGTAACCACGAGTCGCGCGCTACTGACGAGTCGCCCGCTACTGACGAGTCGCCCTGACCGTGCACGTGGGGAGAACATCGGAGCACCCAGAGACCACCCTCGCCTCGCGCGAGGGGCAACACCCTAAACCCAGACGGAGATCGGTGCACTTCGTGAATTGCCTTCCTGGGTCTGCCTCCTCCTAGACGCCCACGGGCAGGGAGTCTCACAACGTCTGTGCAGTGATACACCAACCCCTGCGGCCTTCACAATTATTCACCCCCCGCGACCCCTCCAGAATGGGATGCCATGCGGCTGAGTCATTAGTATCTATTTGTATGTGGAGAGATAGACATGTGAAGGGGACGAATTGTCTGCAAGGAAGGAGGCTGAGCCAAAATACAGCAGCACCACGACAGTAGTACAAAGTGGCTTTATTGTTATGATGATGGGTCATGGTTAATCCACTGCTGGATGAAGGCCTCCGCCAAGCCGCCACCCACAATGACGATCCTGTCATGCTCTCTCTACGGGTTGATTTCATCGCCACATCTCCAAAGGCTCGACCACCTTTGTCTTTGTGGCGATGTTTATAAATCGCACTATCTACTCGTTTGAGGCTGAGTCGACCTAAAAGGAGGACCGGTTCAGATAATCGTCACCGGTGCTGGCCGTGAGCGGGAATCGAACTTGGGTCGCATAGTGTAGCTGCTCACGACCACGACCGTCCACCAGCACCACCCGCGTACCTGGTCTGACATTGAGCCTCACACGGAGCGAGACATCTCCCCACTCGAATGTGAAGACCCCCGCATCTCCCAGGTGCAGCTGGCGCAGCTGCAGGACGCACGGCTGAGCCTCGCGGAGCGTGTGGCGCTTGGCGAAGCGTTTCTGGTCCTCGCCGTCCCCCACGCACTCCGGGTGGTCGGGGACCCACGTCCAGTTGGGGTGGGGGCCTTGAGACTCCCCTGGCCTGGAGCACGGCACCGACGCAGAGCCTCCCTCCACCGCCTGCACCGACACCACCTCGTCTGCTGACGACGCCGACGCCGCTGCTGCTGCAATAATAATAATAATAATGACGATGATGAGGATGTCAACTTGAAAGGCGCCGCTGCCGCACAGGACGACTCTGAGGCGCCATGCAGAAGAACCGCAGACGAGCGAGAAGGAAGCAGCAGCCACGCGATGAGCCGGTGCTACCAACAATTGCCACTTATTGAGTGTTGGCATGTGCGAGGAAACTGGAGCACCCGGAGGAAACCCACGCGTGCGACGGGGAACACTTTATCCCGCGCAGATGGACCAGGTGGCGTCAACAGTTGTTGTGTACTGCATTTTCCCGGCATAGCCATGGCGTGGTTCCTCCTCGATGTCCACGGGAAGGAAGTTTTACAAAATCTGCGTGGGGTCCACCAACCCTCGCTGTTGCCTCCCCTGTGCCGGGTTATAGCGCCTGTCACAGAAAATCCACTCCCAATCCAAGGTCAAACTGAAATCCTCCTAAAAAGAGCACCGAAGCGGTGCTAAACTCCTCTTCACAATCCTGAAGCGGTAATTCCACATCGTTGTGGCACGTGCGAGTTTAACCATTGGGAAACCACCGCTGACTTCGCGCAAAGTGGTACTCATTTTATCAACCTCGGAGCAAGGGATGATGATGGGCTGAAGTCAAGCCCCAACCGAGGATGTGACCTGGCGCCTGTCCGATGGCGAGCCACGCGCTATCCCCCTGAGAGCCACCACGTAGCCGGTTTCCCCAGATGAAGGCGCAGCCCTGCAATTGCGAGCTCACGCCCCTGCTGGTGCAAGGGTCTCCACAAGAAAGTCCCACTGTAGGGTATTTGGCCTACTCTTTCACACTGGCCATGCGTCTTGGAGGAGGTGGGAGGACCCAGACTTTACCCCACGACACGCAACCCGAGGCCGCCCGAGTCCCCAGCACACGGCCCCCACCCCCACCTCCCCGTCGGGCTCGCACCTGCAGCGCAGCAGACGGCGACGAACACCACGAGGACTCGGCTGGGCCCGGTTCGCGAGGCGCTCATCGTGGGTGAGGTCCGGGTCCTTGCTGGAGGAGTCCGAGCTGAGCGCGCGCGCGCGCACGGAGAGAGAAGAGGGCGAGCGAGAGAGAATGTGGTGTGTGGTGAGCGAGCAGTCGTGGAAGGGAGAACCACCGGTTGGCATGCAGCCTTTATGAGACTGGCATCGGCCGTGACTCATCTGCAGTAGTGTGGAAACTGATAACAACTGGATTCATAATAAATAATACATATTTAGCGTGTTTAAGCTCAAATTGAAAGAAACAACAATTTCCCTTGCGCAATAGCCGCATGGATAAATGCAAAGTGTGTGGCGTCGTGTTGTTAGCAGCGGTGGCTTTGCGCTCACTCAGGTTGTTCCATGCTCAGACCTGCCGTGGTGTTTCCACGGCTCCTGCCCGCCACCCCTGACCCTTCATCAAATGTCACACCGATTATCATCATCACCACCACCACCACTATCGTCATCACCACCACCACCACCACCATCGACCATGGGGTATACATAGAGATATATGTGTATCCGTACAACTCTGTTGTCAATCCACTGCTGGATGAGGGCCTCCACGCTGTGCGTGTCATGGCTGGTAGCGGGAGGGCGGGGGACGATAGGGGGGGGTATATGACCATACTTCATCAGGCTGGCTCAGTTTGGGTTGTAGGGGAAGAATGTAAGCAGAAGCATATACAGTACAGTACAACGGTGAATGTTACTGCCCTCCTGCTGCCCATAACGTAACCACCCCCCCACCCGCCCCTGGGCAGCAGCCCATGAATGACAATCGATCCACCCACTAACCAGGCTCAAACCTGCTTAGCTTCCAGCCCGACCCTGGACTGAGGCTGGACTGTGCGTGCCATCAGCTGGAGCCGATTCGTCCCCCGGGTTGACAATTCCCCCGTTTACCCGGGTGTGGGGATTATGTTTGTTTTATCAATCATGTGCAGTCCGACGTTTCGCTGCTTGTGGCTAGCAGCTAATCCAGGACAAGAGCAACAACAACAACAAAACCCCCGAAACAACTCGGAAACACATCGGAGAGCTACGCACCAGCAAAGCCTCCAACACCATACGCAGTCCTATAAGTGATTAATACTGACAACGATAATGATTATCTTCGCCGTCGTTATCCACTGCCACATCATCACCAGCATCACCATTGCCGATGGATACAGTGACATCATCATCATCGCCCGCGAGCGACTAGGTTGAGAATTTCCGTGAAAAACTCAACTCAGGTTTTCGCTCAAATTTGTATGAAAATAGCCGCGTGTAGGTACGCGGGGGCGAGGGGGGCTCTCCCCGCGGTCAAACTTTCTCCGAACTGATGCGAGAGGCGTGGGGGGCAGGGAGCGGGGTGGGGGGGGGGCACTGAGGCAGGGGCTACGAGGCAGAGCCACGGCTCCACCGGTCGTACACCACGACACTGTCGTCCATAGGCCAGGTGATGGACTTGTCTGCACCACAACATATTCACGAAGTACTCTTTGTGTAGAATATTAACGACAATATAAATAGCTCCCTCGTCCTATGTTATGTTTTCCTTGTAAACAAATTACGCAATCTTTTGTTCACATCAGCCACATTGCCTGTTGGATGGGAGTACAAACCTATCAACAGCATTGGTGCGATACGAAGCAAAGGTAAACCTGAGCCAGCTTCAACGTTCTCTTGTCTCATCAGCAGGGTCAGGTTTGCCTGTCTGTACCAGCTGATTCTCGCCCCCTCCCCTCCCCACCCCTTCCTCGTCTTTCCCAGCGGAGGGAATCAAACCCGCAGCGCTGTTGGTTTGTGGTCAAAAGACCGCAGTGGGTGGGGTTTGACTGTGTGGTCCCCTCTCACCTGCACCGCAACCCCAATGCATGGGCCGCGGCAGCTCTGTGTGAGAGACTCTGAGAGTGAGCGGAACGAGGATCCTGAGCACCCCGGGGGGGGGGGGGGGAGTCGCTGCGTCTCATCAGAGCCTACGACTGCTGCTGCTGCTGCTGCTGCGGGAAGTGAAGCTGATGATGATGATGATGGTGGTGATGATTGCGCCACTTGCGTGAGATACGGCAACTACGACGCTGTGTACACGTGGCTCGCTTCCCCCTATTCCTTGGGTCTTTAGGTAAAGTCTCGTGACTTTGCGTGGGTTCGACCCCGACCCTGGCGCCTGCTGCTGTATATTTGGAGTTCTCCCCGCGGTTGCGTGGATTTTTCTCCGGGCCCTCCGGGTTTTCCCTCCACATTTAGAAATACGCGTCTAGAGTGTGTGGCTGCTGCTGTACATGTCCACGTGTAGAAACACGCGTCTAGAGTGTGTCGCTGCTATACATTTCCACGTGATAAGCCACTTCGTTAAGTTGTCATTTGCATCCAGGTCGCTTCTGAAAAAGAGCGATGTAGCTCAGTGGGCCTTACTTGGTCAAATATGCCGTGCTTTTGTTTAACAGCTATTGGATGTAATTCTGAGTGAAACGTCGAACAAAATCGTCACAATTCTGCTCGCTTTTCAAGATTCCTCCTCCTCCTGAGAAACCAACACATTCGGGACGATTAGCCCCACATGACAACGTGATGTGATTGGCTCTGTCGGGTGGTGAAGGGCTATAATAAAGAAACATGACTTTATATTTACACGATAATCAAACTCAAGAGAAATTACTTGTGAATCCTGAATATTGGTCGTGAAATACTCTGCGTAACATTCTCTCTGAGGCTCTCAGAAACAAAGATACAAACATACCACGAGCAGACAGCGCCATCTGTGCGTGGCCCCAGCAGCACCCCCTCCCCCGCTGCTCACTCGCCTGCGCACAGGGGACGAGGTCGATCTTCAGGCTCCGTGCGTCGCGCTCCCTTCGACGCCGCGCCGTCTGCACCTCTTCGCGCCTCCTCGTGCCGTAAACAGTAACAGCGGAGGGAGGGCAACCGGACACACGGACCGACGCACCCGTCCAACTAACGCGCCCACCACCAGCCAACGCGCAGTGGCACTGCCACCTGTCCTCTGCGACTCGGTGTCACCTCCCGAATATAAAAAGTGGCGCGCTAGGCGCTGACGTCGGTGGGGCGCTGCATTCATTGGAGGAGAGCCCCGCGGTCCGCGCGGTTTACGGGAAATCGGAGCCTCGACCGTGGAAACATCATCAGCAGATCCGTGTCTCGCCTCGCTGCCTCCTAATCGGCGCGCAGTGAAAGGGCAGTGCGTGTTTTGTGTGTGTGCATGGTGGTTCCAGATGAGATCCGTGACGCGTGCAAGATAGAGATAAGCGCGAAATGATAACGGGGCCCGAATGAGATCCTGCGGCGACACGGGCTGACATTTCGCTCGAGTGGAAACATCAACGAGTAAACAACGAGTTCTTGTTGTTGTTGCTGCTGCTGCTACTAAGAATAACAATACTGGTGGTGGTGGCGGCGACTATTGTAATTGACGTCGTCAAAGCGATCGGGTCTCCTGGCCGCCGACCGCAGCCGGTGCCGCGCGTTGAGACATTCGCGCACCGCGGCCGCACCGCGGTGGCTGGAAGCCGCTCCCAGCGGTTTGACCGCGAGAGGAGAGGCCTTGACGCAAATGCGAATGGTGGCGGGCAGACACGTGCCTTATCGGAGGCGGCAGCAGTGGAAATGAGCAATGCCAGTTCTGACAAATTAATCTGCCAGCCTCGGCAATCATCACCTTGCAACCAGGGCCCCTTATCTGGAGAACCGCTATATCTATGGGACATTTTTGCCAGTATCGACATGATGAAAAAAATAAGAATAGGTTTTGCAAACAATGGAAACAAGCACGATATTTGTTTGCATGTTTTGCCACAAGTGTGTGTGGTGAATGGCTTGCAAAAAGAGTAGCTATTTGGTGTTTGAACATCTTAACGGCCGTTTTATTGCCAGAAAGGGTAAACCCTGTTCTGATATTTTTGTCATTATTTCGAGCGTCGTCGTTACACGAGCGGCGCTCCGCCCGCCGTGGCCGCGTGCTTGTCACACTGCGCTGGGCGTGGTGCACAAGCACAATTAATTCAAATGTTACAAAAACTAAACTCATCAACACGTGTGTTCATTACTCTGCCCTAAACGACCGGTTGCGACATTCAGCGTCTCACCAGCAGAGTCGACAGGCTTGCGTCAAGCAATGCTGGCGATCTGCTGCCAGATGTTTGCGAGGCCAAGGGCCCATGTCTCGTCTGTGAGTTCCGCGCCGATCCGTCCGGGACACAGCCGATCGGCCACTGACGTCGCTGTGCAGTCGTAGGTGGCGGCCGGTACATGACTTCAGGTATTGTATTGTGTGTAGTGTGTGTATGTATTGTGTGTATGTATTGTGTGTATGTAAGTTGAACTTATTTTGCACCGTACGCCGGCAACCCTGATTATAATCGGCGGTGCGGTGGAAAGGGCAAAAAAGACAAAATACAAAAAGGAGTTTTAAAGAGATTAATTTCCAATCTATAGAAATTTGGTTTCCATGGCGCGTTCATTTCTGGGTCCCGTGAGACGATTCGGGGGGGTGGGGCTACCTCCCCCCGCCCCCCCGTGCCTCTCCCACCAACCCCGCTAGGCTCTGCCGCGTGACTTGCTGTCAATGCAGCAAGTGAGACCGCGAGCCTCGTTTTCTGCGCGTGGTCGGATGTGTGCATATTGAACTTCTTTCGCACCGTACGCAGCGCACCGTGCTAATCGCAGGTGCGGGGGAAGGACGACCGACGACGAGCGTGGTGGTTGTCTCCCCGTAGGCGCCGCGGAATCTTTTTGCGGAGTTTCTCTGCCGAGTTTCTCTGCCGAGTCTCTCTGCCGAGTCTCTCTGCCGAGTCTCTCTGCCGAGTCTCTCTGCCGAGTCTCTCTGCCGAGTTTCTCTGCCGAGTCTCTCTGCCGAGTCTCTCTGCCGAGTTTCTCTGCCGAGTCTCTCTGCCGAGTCTCTCTGCCGAGTTTCTTTGCCGAGTCTCTCTGCGGAGTTTATCTGCGGAGTTTATCTGCCGAGTCTCTCTGCCGAGTCTCTCTGCCGAGTCTCTCTGCCGAGTTTCTCTGCCGAGTCTCTGCCGAGTTTCTCTGCCGAGTCTCTCTGCCGAGTCTCTCTGCCGAGTCTCTGCCGAGTTTCTCTGCCGAGTCTCTCTGCCGAGTCTCTCTGCCGAGTTTATCTGCCGAGTCTCTCTACGGAGTTTATCTGCGGAGTCTCTCTGCCGCCTTCGTGCCCGAGCGAAGCGACGACCCCTTGAAAGAGCGCGTGGCCAAACGTCCGAATGAAAGACCCTCTTGAAACCTTGTCTTGAGACTCAGCAATGTGCATCGTATTTTCTCAGCAACATAAACAGCTTTAGACGAGAACACGAGCTGCGTTTCAATTTCGTGCATTTGTTGTTTGTTTGACTCAAAGCGGAGTTGACGAATTTATCTAAACAATTGCACCCTCGTAAGAGCAGGGTATGGTTATCGCAATTGCGCTGTGAGACCCAGCGGGCCTGAGCTCGCTTCACAGTCGCCACAGATTAAGAACCGCAACCAGCAAGCGATTCCTGAACAGGTCCTGGGAACCACCCCCCATAAATAACTCAGCGTGGGGTGGCATTGATCCAGCAGTGGAATGACAAAAGGGAAACGTTTGCGAGCCATGACATTCGTTTTCTAATAAATGAATGAGAACGAGGGAAACATCGCGGGTTCCCGTTGAGCGGCTCCTCGCGGGATTTTTCATTGACACCGCGGGGAGGGAGCCGCCCCAGCCACGCTGCGCGCGTCACGCGCGGCCCTGGAGCGGTCACCGGACCGGCGAGTGATGACGTCACAGCGTTTTGAGAATCGACGCTCGGCGGCCTGACTCGAGCTTTGGTGAAGGCGCAGTCGGTTCCCAAGAGTTGGCGGAAAAAATGTCGTCTTTGTCCAACAGCTCTAAGGCAGGAACCGCTCTCCACTGGGCCGGCCCGGGCCCACGCGGTCCGCGTTCCCCGCGTGCACGGAACGCGTGCCGCAGGGGCTGGCGCTGATCTCGAGCGAGTGAGCGCTGTCTCTCCCACGCAGATCTATCTCTCTCTCTGTCTCTCGTACCTCCATCTGTCCTTGTGTTTTTATCGCTCCCTGCTTGTCCCTCCGTGTATCTCGCTCCCTACTTCATTTCTCCCTCTCTTTTTTTCTCGATTTAAAGCTTTCGTGACTGCAGGGATTCATCTTCTTGGTTCTTTCGGTAAAGTCACGTAGAAGAGAAATAATAAAATAACAAAAAATAAAACGTAATAAAATACATTTCTCACGACGTTTCGGCCACAACGCAAGCAGCCGTCCTCAGGTGAAGAACAGGACTGTCGGAAAGACAGCGTCTGAATGAACACCACCAAGCTTGGCAGCGTATATTTAAGCTGGGTTAGAGGAGGAGGGCGCCTTGACAAAGGAATTAGCATATCAACAGATGAATTTAGCATATTTATGGAAAATGCAGATATGGGATTAGTCACAAAATTACTTGTCAAGGCGCCAAGCTTGGTGGTGTTCATTCAGACGCTGTCTTTCCGACAGCCCTGTTCTTCACCTGAGGACGGCTGTTTGTGTTATGGCTGAAACGTCGTGAGAATTTTATTATGTTTTATTTGTATTATTTTATTATTTTATTATTTCCCTTCCTGACTGTGTCGGGTGGTGGAGGGTTACGACACATTTATACTTACGCGATCTAACCCTAAAACCTTTATCATGAATAATATTGGTCGCGAACGCCTACGTGTTAAATGTATCCTTCATTCACCCATCAGCGATCCACTCAATTCTCTCGTTCATTATCCCCTCCAGCCATTCATTAATTCAGTCAAACTCCCACTCATTGACCCGCACGAATGACGTCATTATCCCATTAATTCATTCCCTGCTTAATTCATTCCCTGCCGCCGTGTCTCCCCTCCTCCCGCTCCCCCTCACACCAATTCCTCTCCACCACAACCTCCACTCCCTCACTTTCGCTTCCTCTATAAGGAGCTGCAGAGGGGGGAGGACTCTATCCCGGGCCTTCGATCCCTGAAGGGGCGGGGGCTTAAATAGACCGAGGGGACCTCAGGGAGCCTCATCTGCCATTTTGCCCCGGACCTCGAAAATATTTTCGGTGACTCCCCCCCGCCACCTCGATCTCCCCTTCTCTCTTCCTCTCCATTTCTCTCCTCTGCCTCTCCTACCCCCCTCCCTCCTTCCCTCTCCCTGCAGTTATCGCGTTGCGGTTTAAATCGCATTGCTTTGCAGGAAACAGCGAAGCAAAAAAAAACGCAAAATCGTACCCAGAGCGTTCCACCTTCAACGATAGCGGAACGCAAGTGGGGGGCGGGGCTGGAGTGGGAGGAGAGAGCGGGGTGGGGGGTAGCAGCGCCCAATGCACGGCTCTGTGTGTAGTGTGTCGGGGCCCGCACTAAAGGCCACCAGGGGCCGCCAGGAGCCCGCGGGCCTTGCGATGAAGGACGCCGCTTCGGTGGGAAACGTCTGACCATCTCGATTCTCAATCCGCTGTCTCCCCGTGGCTCCAGGCCGAGGGGGCTACAACTCGAGCCGTGCATCGATCGGGTGACCCCCCCCCCACGCGGGGCCGCTGGGGTGCGGCCCGTGACGCGCCGACGGTGACCCGACTCGCGCTCGAGCGGCGACTTCTTCTCCTGCTGCGGCCCGCGACTCGCGGGCGACTCGACACGAGTCGGGGCCCCACGACGAACCCCGCCTCGCCCGGCTCCCCCCCCCCCGGCATTGGGTTGAAGCGTGCAGCACCGCGCGGTGCAGCAAAGCGCGGCGCAGCAAAGCGCGGTGCAGCAAACACACGCAGCGATGAGAAGGAAACGCTCAGATGAACAATGCTGGATAAATACTCAGTTTATTTATTCGCGTATAAATTACTTCCCACCTCGACACAGTGTGCCGGTTTACACGGATGAGTCTGAGTTCCTAGACGATACCTGCGAATCATCAACAGGCGAACGGCTGAACGCGAACACCCATTTTGACAGACGAGACGTGACGCGCGTCGCTCGGGCCACGAGGTGGGGGGCCTCCTCGCCCGGCGGCCCCGCCCGAGGTGGCGCCGCTTCGCCGCCTCCACTTTCCCCACGTGGCCAACAACGGTGAGTGATGCGATAACCGTTTGCGATGAGTGGGGGATGAACGGGCAATTGACTCTCGTTGGCCGCGTGGACAGATGGGATGCGACTCAAGCTGTGTGGCCCACGGTGGTGCCGAGTGCTGTCCCTGGCCCATGGACTCGGTGGCATCGACGCAGCGGACGTGACACCAAGATGCACGCCGAGCGCGTCGCACACACACTGCGCGACCCGCCTCACTCATCAGCGGTCACCGTAAACTCTCACGCGCCCTATTCAGTTGTGCCACGCGTGTACGTGGAAGAGAGATCTTCACGGTGTGTGTTGTGCGTGTGTAGCTGTGTGTTTGTCACGTGCTGTGGAGAACCATCACACGAAACGTCGCCTGTTATATATTTTTCTTTTAAGGCCACACACACGGTGCTTGCTATTGACGAATGTGTTGACTTATCGTTGTTTTTGTTTGTACACCACCACTGCCAACGCAGCAGCTTTTGTTGTGCAGGGTGTACTCAGTGTAACACATGCATTTAGCGTACATACAGTGCTCTTAACGAGAGACAATGACGGCGCATGATGAGAAAGCGTGATCAGCACCACGTCTGGCAGCGTTTGTTTCCTCTCTGCTGATGTTTGCAGGCTGAGTCGACCTAGGAGAATCCGAGCAACGGGCTCAAGGGAAAATCTCGCTACCGATGTTAGCCGTGGTCTTGGAATCTAACTCAGATCGTCGCTTGGTGGAGCTTGACAATAATTATGCCACCTCTCGCCACAGAATGTGTTGATTACATTCATGCGGTCAGGAGAGCCACGATTAGTCCTTGTATTTCAAGAAGTAGTCGGCCATCTGATGATGAGTGTCTATTCTACACGTGGGAGGAAACCCACGCCTTCCACGGGAAGCAACACTCTGTCCCCGTACAAATGGAAAAAGATGGAGATTAGTCCACTAACTAACGGACACACGCCCACGCATACGTGCACGTGCGTGTGGAAACGTGATAATAAAAGCTCACGAAGTCAAGGAAAATCATCCTTCACCATCATCAGGGCGATGACGGTGATCTCGCGTGCCCACTAACAATATATCGTGAGGTCAACTCACGCGGAAAACATAAAAATAGAACAATCGTTTTAACTGGACCTATACATACAAATTGCCCCGCTCAGTATTTTTTTTAGACATGAACTATAACTCATGAAATACGGTTCGATCACTCACGCATTGAGCACTACGACATGACGCACGCCTCCGGAAACAACGACAGAGAGATGCAGGCTGGGCTACAGTGAAGGGACACAGTGTAGGCGCGTAGCTAACACCCTCGGGTGTAAGGTGGGGGTAACGTGGGTGTAAGGTGGGGGTAACGTGGGTCTATCGAGGGTGTATTTTGTGATTATTTTAATCCCCAAAGCTGCATTTCACAAGGCCACTCTCGGCCAGAATGGGCTTTCAATTAGCAATAATGCACAGTTGCTTTGTGATCACGTCGGGTTGTTTGACCTCACCCACCACGCGGTTGACCGCCACTGAGTTGGTAAACAGGACGCCAAAGGACCGGAATCAGATATCCAACTAACCGCTGACGTCAGCCGCGGTCGCGGGAATCGAACTTTGTTGCGCTAAGGACTGCGCCACCGCTCCACACAATGGGCTGTGTTTACCTGGTTGTGTATTCATGAGTGCGTCTCTTTAATTGTATGGTGATGATGATGATTATGATGCCCCCTATTGAGACGAAGGTAATTGCAGCTCGGCGCCTCACAAAACATTCGGGGAGGGTTTCAATTAACCGTGAGTCGTTGAGCACGTGGAGGCGATTGGGATCATGCTAAAGGGTCGGAGAGTCGATTATGCGGACAAATCATAAAATACAGAATCTCTTTAAAGCAACACGATCCACCCCCTCCCACTCCAGCCCCCCCTCCCCCTTGCACCCCCCCCCCCCCCCCCCACTCGATAGAGGAACACGCGCTATTGAAAATTCATTTGCATTTCGTGTCTTTCTCGATACGGGTTGAGGATGCGGTTAACGAGAGGAAGGAGGTTGCATTCGTGTGGACGGTGAAGGCGCAGCCCTGCAAATGCGCCCTCACGCCACTGCTGGCTGAAGATGCCTCCGACCGAGGGCGCTGCGGAGAGCCCCGCGCGGCGCGGCCGCCACGCGTGACGCGTGCGCTTGTGGTCGTGAGTGAACGTCGCGAAGGCAAAGGTCCCCCGTGTAGCCTTTCAAATCATTGTTGGGGCAAGTCCTGTTAGCGAGCACCTATTCGGTGCGGCAGGGCGCACGAGAGGGTGGTGCGAACCCGTTCCACCGCCCGACCGCCTTTCAGTCGCCAGTGGGCACGCGTGATATCAGATACTCGTTTAAGGCTGAGTCGACCTAAGAGAGGGCGTAGGAGAAGTCCACCGACACGACGCCTGGGAGTCATCGGACGCAGGTGGCAGAAGGGAACGGTGCGTGCACCACCGCAACACCGACACCGACACCACGCACTCGGCCACCGCAGCCGTCACTATCCTCGTCAACATCGCCATTAACGTCGTCGTCGTCTGCGTTCGTTGCGGCTGCCGCAGCAGCAAGTGTCGGCTCCACCTCGCCTCGTCCGCGCGGGTCACATCCTCAGAACCTCGTAAATGCAGTCCTGGCTCGTGAACTCCTCGGGTGCGCAGAACCCTGCGGCACATGGCGAGTCACGGGTGGGGGGCAGCAGGGGTAGGCGGGGGGGGAGGCACGGGCGCTTGTGTTAGGGGGTTAGCAGGGAGGGGGTGGATGGTGGGTGGAGGTCTCGACTCGGACTCTGAATGAGCGAGAGTGAGGGTGAGGCGGTGGTAGCTGTAGCAGCGTCTTTGCCTCTTTGTTGCAGAGGTTCGCGGTTCGGTTAAGCGGCCCCCCTGGCTAATTCTGCGGCGTGTATTAGCAAGTCTCGCTTCATAGCGGACGTTAAAGACCTCGCGACGTTATACGAAAAGTGTAGGCCATTGCGTGTCGGTGCGTCACGGCCCGAATTTGTCAAATTTGAAAGAAAACAAAAATCACCCGAAAATTATTGATTTGGGATCACAGACAGCAGCAGCAGCAGCACCGCCTCCTGCTATCACATCACCGCACGCTGTTCCTGTGAGGCAGCGGCGCCTCCACGCAGGGCGGGCACCCCGCGCTCTGGAAACGACAGCACCCGTAGCACGCGCCCGTAGCACGCGCCCGTAGCACGCGCCCGTAGCACGTGCACACGGTGATCGGGTGATTCGAGGTGATGGTTTGATCACGTGGAGCGGGAACAAGAAGGTGCGAGATCGCAGCGTGTGGAATGATGGTTACGCGACAATGGAAGAAGTGTGTGGGTGGGTGAAGGTTGTGGTAAGGGAGGTGTGTGTGTGGTGAAGAGCTGGGGGTGTGTGGGTGTGTGCGTGTGAGTAGCGGTTGCGGTGCTGGCAACCGATCTCCGCGTGTGCCACAGTGCCGGACTTCACAGATGTTACTCGCTAACAGCTCTCGCCCCAGCAGTCTCTTGAGGCTATACGGGGGGTCTTTGTCTCGTGTGAGTTGCGGAGTCTAACATCAGTGGTGGATTCAAGGGGTGAGTGGAGGGAAGGCTATGGGGACAATCGTACCCCCTTGGGATCCTAACAGTTGGTACTTTGTTGATATTTAGCAGAAACAAGACGTTTGTTGTGTTGTTATTGTTAAAGTAGGGCACTTAAAAAATAAACTACTTGAAATGTAGCGACCGCCCCATCCCCGCCCCCGTTGAGACTTGGAGAGCGTCTCTCCCCGTCTCTGGTGTGTAAGTGTATAATACATATATATGTGGTACACGTGTGTGGTACGTGTGTGTGGTACGTGTGTGTGGCTTCCAAGTGCACCTAGTCTGGCACAGGCGCTGCGGCGACGCCACCGTAACTTTAGTGGCGAGTGGACGGCGGTGACTCTTGCGTGCGTGTGGGAGCTGCAGCTGACGCTAAGCTAAGCGTGGTGGGTGTGGGTGGTGAGTGTGGGTGGTGAGTGTGGGTGGTGAGTGCGGGTGGTGAGTGCGAGTGGTGAGTGTGATTGGTGTGGGTGGTGAGTGTGTGGTGTGAGTGGTGAGTGTGGGTGGTGAGTGTGAGTGGTGAGTGTGGGTGGTGAGTGTGGGTGGTGAGTGTGGGTACTGAGTGTGGTTTGGTGAGTGGTGAGTGTGGGTGGTGAGTGTGAGTGGTGAGTGTGGGTGGTGAGTGTGGGTGATGAGTCTGTGCTCGGGTCGCTCACCCTCCCCTCCCCGCGTCTCGTCCCAGGTGCTGGCTTTGTGCTCCACGGAGTCCACGGACTCGTAGGCAGGGTTGTCCCGCATGCTGCACAACCGCGCTCCTGGACTCGCCACGCCACAAGGGAATTTTTTACCAAAGCCACAAAAACAAACACACACGTACACCCACACACACAAACATACAAACATACACAACAACAACAACCGCCATTCGCTACTAAGTGGTGGTGACGTCACCACGACGCTTGTGCCAGGCTATGTGCACCGTGAGGCCACGTGAAGTGTCGAACGCCCGCTGGCAAGGAGGTCACGGGGCAGACCCAGATGCGGGCGACTGCCTCCAACTGCCCGGTAGCGTCCTTCACGAGCCTCCTCCACAGAGGCCGATCTTGACACCGCTGGTACCAGTCATTGGCAAGTCCACTCAGCTCCACATCCTCCTGTACCACATCACTCCATCTCTTCTCTAGCCCGTGCCGCGCCCGTTTAGCCCCCTCGATCCGGCTGAACAAAAGCTGTTTAGGCCCAGCCAACGCAGCCTTGTCTGCCGGAGGAGCTCACCGATGTGACTTTGTCCGGATCTTTCAAGGATTTGTGAGCTCCTCACACAATACAGCCTGGTTAAAAGCAGGATGGGTCGTAGGTAGGCCAGCTAAATGTTTATAACCGGCGAAGATGTTCCATTAGGGGGTTCCACGTTTCGCAAGCGTAGAGAAGGGAGGGAATGACTGTGGCTGAGAAGACCTGAAGCTTCGTGCGGAGCGACAGACCAGGTAGCTTCCACAAAACGTTACGCAACCGATGAAAAGATAATGCCGCTCGACTGATTCGGAGTGAGACCTCTGCTGTTAAACGAGAGCCAGCCATGATCACACTGCCCAGGTATGAGAAACTCTCCACTCTCTCCACAACTGCCCCATCACCAATTGGGAGTTGTGGGGTTGAAGTGTCCGATGGTACAAAATACCCAGGCAGGTGCTTAGTTTTGGTGGGGCTGATGGTAAGGCCCCACACCTCTTAGTGGCCAGCTCCAGGTTCAGCAGCAGCGCCTCCAACTCCTCCTCTGAGTGAGCAGCAACCACCAGATCATTGGCATACATAACGTGTCATGGTTTTTTGTCTTTTTATTCTTATCTATCTACGTGACTTTACCGAAATAACCAAAGAATATGAATTCCTGCAGTCACGAAAGCTTTACGTCAAGATTTAACCGCCTCGACGGGGAGGGTTTCCACACAACCATTAGATCTGTTAACAGACTCCGAAACAAGAAGGCTCATCTGGTCGAGTCGCTCACTTCTCTGAAGAGATGCCGCGACACCAAGGTAATACCGATCGCCTTATTTTTGTTTGCATTCTGACCACAAGTATTGTGGTTAATACAGACATAATTAGCCTAGGTATTCCTAGCTCTGCGATCTTGCATTCACTTGCAAATTCCATCTCTAGTCCCGCCTACTCCAAGCAATTATAACTTTTGGTTGCACTGGCTCTGCATTTGGCTCAAGCAGCTCTCTCGCGATATTTTTCTCAACAGTCCGCCAGCTGTATTTGTTCACCTTAGGATGATCGCTTGTGTTGCAATCGAAACTTCGTGGTTTTTTTGCTTTTTATTATTTTCTATGTACGTTAATTTACCGAAAGAACCCAATAATACATTTCGATTTAAAGCTTTCGTGACTGCAGGAATTCATATTCTTGGTTCTTTCGGTAAAGTCATCACGTAGAAGGGAAAGAACCAAGAATATGAACCCAAGAATATAGGTAACGTGGTTGAGCAATAGGGAGCCATCCCTTGATCTCACCCGGGCATCGATCAGCCTCCCATTGTATCTGTACCAGATGGAAATTCCTCCGATACAGCTATTGAAGGCTTCACGAACTACGTGGTCGAAATAGATGTTAAATAATATTGGAGCTAGAGGACATCCCTGTCGCACCCCAACCAAAATGTACAGGGAATGGCTCCGACTCCCGGCCACGTAGTTTTACCCGGGCCCGCTCACCATCATGAAGGTCCTTAATGATCATGAGCAGAGGATCAGGGACTCCGAAAGCACGAAAAACAACCCAGAGCCCAGGCCTACTGATGGTATCATAGGCCTTGACCAGGTCAATAAAGCAAAGACGTAGGTCTCGTTGGAATTCCCTACACCTTTGCAATTGCAGACGGACAGAAAATATGGCATCTGTGCAGGACTGCCCTTTCCTGAAAGCGCATTGGGGCTCCGCAAGCCTCTCCTCAGCGTGCCTAGCAAGGCGATGTTGAATAATCCTTGCCAGGACCTTTCCCAGCACAGGCGTTAGATGCCCCTGTAGTTGTTACAGTCTGTGCGGTCCTCCTTCTTTAAAGAGGGGGACCACCAGGGCATCCTTCCAGTCCTGCGGAACCCGTCCAGTGGTCCAGACTGTTGTTATGATGTCATGTAGGCCAGTCTGTGCACAAACGCCACCCTCCCTCAGCATTTCGCTTGAGAGATCATCTCTGGCCGGTGCCTTTCCTGGTCTCAGACTCTGGATCGCCTTCAGTACTTCCTCAACAGATGGCACCTCAGCCAGCCACTCACAGGGTGTGACTTCTTCCAATATTTGAGGCACTGCAGCCTCGGCAGGGTCATCTCCACTTTGTCCCACGTTGTTATCCAGGCTGAGGGATGTCCCCTCCCCCAGGACCTCACAAAAATGCTCAGCAAATCTGCAAACCTGTTCCTGGGGGTCGGAAATTGGATCACAATTCTTTCCTCCTGCCCCGAGTAGAAGACTGTCCATCCTTCATGGTGCCAGGAGCCAGAGCCGGTCCACTGGACCCCCTGAATACCGCAGAGATCCAGACGGTACCGGTCCAGCTCCTGACAGGGGAGTGGTCGCCTCTCCACCACAGTGAGCGTTTGAACATTCCACGTGGCGACCCGCAGTGGATTTTTGCTGTTTCTGAAGGAACCCCGAGAGTAAGGATTCAATCTCCTGGCTCTGCCAAATGGGGTTTGGCCAGGAGACGTCATAGACGCCTGTCCCCGCGGGGCCTCTGGCACAAGCTTAGCTCGATATTTTTTTAGTAGTTTGGTGATAATTTATTGAAGGTGGAGGGGTTACCAGCCCCTCGCACCCGTCCATAGCCCCCGTTGGCCGCTGTGGTGGCTACAAACGCCATGAAGGGGAGTTGCAAATCGAAATTGGCCCTCTCCCCGTGGCACTGCTCACCACAGCGTCACCGTCCAGCACCAACGAGGAGGTCGGGGTTGGTTTGCCGGATGGTGAGTGAGGATGGTGAGTGTTGGTGGTGAGTGTGGGTGGTGAGTGTGAGTGGTGAGTGTGGGTGGTGAGTCTGTGCTCGGGTCGCTCACCCTCCCCTCCCCGCGTCTCGTCCCAGGTGCTGGCTTTGTGCTCCACGGAGTCCACGGAGTCCACGGACTCGTAGGCAGGGTTGTCCCGCATGCTGCACAACCGCGCTCCTGGACTCGCCACGCCACAAGGGAAAATTTGAACCAAAGCCACAAAAACAAAACATGCATACACACAAACACACACATACATACACACACACAAACACACAACACACACATACACACGCGCGCACAAACGCACACAAACACCTCAAGGCTCGCCTTTCGCCTCTAGAGGCGCGACCGCTCAGAGACTGACTGAGCAGTGTCCGTGTCAAATCAAAAACACAACGTACAGCAGTGCGACCTTGGCCTTGCAACCCAAACTGTGGACCACATCGTGAAGCACTGCAGTCTGCGCTCCTTCAGCGGAGGAGGATGGGGAACCGCGCGACACGACACTAAGTCTCTCTGCTAAAGCTCTCGCAGACGAGGGGAATGAATTATTTTATCCAATGATTGAAGCGTGGGTCACATCGCCCCGTGCGTAAAATGCCAATGTTGTGTCGTAAACCCTCCTCCACCCGACGAGGCCAAATAAAAAAAGAATGTGTCACGTGAACCGCACGTGCCTGGTTCAGCACAGCGGTGTTGTGTGATGGGGACGAGCGATCCCCAATCAACGATGTGCGCAGCGAGTGAGTGAATGAATGCGCCGGGCGAGCGTGGTCACGGGTTCGGGGACTGTCCCGCGCCGGCTGCCCTCTGCGTGGCGCCTCTCACCTCTCCGCCACGCGGGGGGCTCCTCCCGAGCACCGTCCAGGTCAATGGAGTGGTAGATGGGGTTGACGCGGATCAGTCCTGAGAGGGGGAGACGCGGCGAGACATCGACGTGAACGTCAACTCGCTGCGCTGCGCCGCAGCCGCGCGGTGAGGAACGGCCGCCACTAACAATTTCCCGAGCTCTGCGATCCTCCGTATACTAAGGTGTCATCGGCCAATTAATTAGGGTTCACACGTGGGAGGAAACCGGGGAATGCAAAGAAACCCACAGGTGTGAGGGGGCAACACTGTATCTCATGCAGATGGAACAAGTGGAGTCCACATTCTGCTGTACCGCCTTCTCTGAGCGAACCAGGGTACGGCAACGCCCACGGATAGAAGGGAGTGTGAGTGGACACGAGTGTGAGAGTGTGTAAGAGTGTGAGAGTGTGTCAAAATGTGAGTGGCTACGAGTGTGAGTGGGTGCGAGTGTGAATGGGAACGAGTGTAAGTGTGTAAGAGTGTGAGTGTGTGTCAGAATGTGATTGGGTACGAGTGTGAGTGGGTGCGAGTGTGAATGGGAACGAGTGTAAGTGTGTAAGAGTGTGAGTGTGTCAGAATGTGATTGGGTACGAGTGTGAGAGTGTGTAAGAGTGTGAGTGTGTAAGAGTGTGAGAGTGTGTAAGAGAGTGTGAGTGTAAGTGTGTAAGAGTGTGAGAGTGTGTGTAGGAGATGCGTACCGCCGTCGCCATAGAACGTGTCCTGGTTCTGACTCGCAACCAGCAGCATCACTTCTGGGAGGAGGAGGAGGAGAGAGACGCGCGGGACACGATGCGAGTGAATAAACAATTCTATGAATCAGAGGGACGAATAAATGAAACATTTAATGGGTGAAATAGTTAATTGACGGGTGAATAAAACAATCGAATGAGTTCATGGCTGTGATGGAACTAGTGACTAAATGCCCGAATGACTGAAATTTGCGACTGATTGAATGAGGCCATTACCGAAAGAATGAGCAAAAGAGTGAACGAAGGAAGGAAGGAAGAAATGAGCGAATGAGACGTGGCGCGCGTGCGGGGCGCGTACCGGGCGGGGCGGGCGGGGGGCCGCGGGGGTGCGGCCGCACCGCGGCGTAGACCGGCTCCGGGTGCTCGGGCGGAGGTCCTGCGGAGCGGGGGTCGAACCGGTGAGTTTCAACTTAGCGGACGATCCCCATTCAGTTTAACTCCCCTCCCCCCCCGTCCCTCCCACACGCAACAGACGAATGTGTCGCTGCGCGTGTGTCGGCGTGGATGCGGGGCTCCTCTGAGCTCACCCAGCGCGTAGAGGCGCCGCTCGTCCCCCGAGTCTGACTCGTAGCTCTCCTGTGCGGCGAAGGGAAACCTGCGGCCACGATCACATCGGGAATGATACAGAAAGCCGTAGACTCACGCATACAGTCATAGACTCACACAGAGAGCCGTAGACTCACACATACAGTCATAGACTCACACAGAGAGCCGTAGACTCACACATACAGTCATAGACTCACACAGAGAGCCGTAGACTCACACATACAGTCATAGACTCACACAGAGAGCCGTACTCACACATACAGTCATAGACTCACACAGAGAGCCGTAGACTCACACATACAGTCATAGACTCACACAGAGAGCCGTAGACCCACACAGAGAGCCATAGACTCACACATACAGTCATAGACTCACACAGAGAGCCGTAGACTCGCACAGAGAACCGTAGACTCACACAGAGAGCCATAGACTCACACAGAGACCCATAGGCTCATATAGAGAGCCATAGACTCACACATACAGTCATAGACTCGCGCAGAGATCCATAGACTCACGCATACAGCCATAGACTCACACAAAGAGCCGTCGACTCTAGAACAAACACTTAGATTCACACAGAGACTGAGAGTGAGTCTCACACAGAGACTAAGAGACTCACGAAAAGAGATGTGGGCGCACATTTAGAATCATAGACTCATACACGGAGCTATTGACTCACAGATATTCATATACTCACATCGAGAGTGACCCATTCTCAGAGAGCCACAGACTCACACAAGGTGCCATAGGGTCACACATAGAGCCACATTCTAACAGAAAGACTCACGGACTCATATAAGACTCACAGAACCCCACATACTCGTACAGAGACTCATACAGGGGCCGGCTCAGTGTATCTGACACAGCCATCATGAACCTCGTCAGCCTCAGAGCTGTGGCGGCGCTTTGCTCACCTGCTGCGATGCGGGAAGTGCGGGGTCCCTGCTGGCCACGGGGAGACACACGCGGCGCGGTTCGGTTAGACACGCGGGAGGCTGCAGGGCCCCCAACTCGTTGTGTGCATGCTGCGCTTTGAGTGGATTGCTGTTGTTGTTGTGTCGCGGTTTGGGTGAGAGATGGCAGGAGGCCTGGGGGAAGAGGCCATCGTCTAGTAGTGGATTGAGCATGGCTGCTCATGAAGGCGTAAATGATGATGTTTGAGATGAGATGTATTGCTCGACTGAGTTACGAAGGCATTTAAGCCAGCACATCATACTTGGCGTGTATTGCTATCACTTGTGTTAGCATGAACGCTTTTTGTATTCGCGCTGGCATGCTCGTAGCGCAAGGCATTCCCAATGAGAAGGCGCTGCTGTGCGTCACAGTCGCAATCGGCGGTCTATCATCACCGCGTCCTCTCGCTCGCTCGCTCCCTCCGTGAGAGGCAATGCGCCACTGAGTTGCGAGCAAACACCGCGCGGAGCGGAGCGTAGCGTTGGCGCGTTGCTGCCGTAGCGAGCACGGCTACGTCTGGCACGAGGTAGCCACGGCCGTTCTGCGCAGTCCCCACTGAGTAATCGATGGGGCTATGGGGGGGGGGGGGCTGCTACCTATGATCGAGTGGCCCTCCTTGTCCTTGCTCGCACGGGACCTGCGCACCGCCCACACCAGCAGAGCGCTCAGCACCACCAGCGCCGCGGCGCCCGCCAGCAGATAGAACCCCGCGGGGAGGTCTCGATCGGGGGCGCTGGACTCGCGTCCCGGGGCCATGGCACCACCGCGGGGGGCCCAGGTCGTGGCCGGGCCCTCGGAGGCGACGAGTCCCCCGGCTTGCGTCCCGGTCGTGTGAGAGGCGGGGGTCGCCGTGGCGAGGTCGGGACAGCGCCATCGGCTCGAGGTGTGGGTGGCTGCGGGAGGGAGGTGAGGGTGGTGAGAGAGGTGTGGGAGTGGAGTGAGGGTGGTGAGGGTGAGTTTGTCTACGCTATTGCGGTTTGCTTGAAAGGGGTCCGCGGAGTTTAGGCCGAGCGCTCTTGCCAACAACATCGGACAATGCCGCAGCAATGGTTCACACGACCTCGACTCGTGCTGATGAGACCCCCAAGGTCGAAGCCGGTACGGAGTGTCGCTTTGCCTAAACCAATGTCCTTGCTGGATGGAGCTCAGTTGACATCAGAAGCGGGACCGGGCGCGTGCGGGCTGCAGAGCCGCGATAGCGAACGGCAGCAGCAGCCCTGCGTCACCGCGTGGGAGGTAAGAGGCCGAAAATAAATAATAAATACGAATTTGTTAGTACAAATACGAATTTGTTAGTAAAATACGAATTTGTTGGTAAAAATAATGCGGTAATCGTTTCATCAACCCATGTGTCACGAATCGTGAAGCCAACATCTGGACGCAGGGTGTGGGAACAGAGGGGGAGGGTTTGAGATTGGGGGCGGGGAGAGAGGGCCAAGTAATACGCGGTGCCCCCTAACTTAGCATTCTGTATGGGGTCCCCTCGCCTCTTACCCATGGACCCCCTTGGCTACTCCACATGACCCCCTTGGCTACTCCACATGGCCCCCTTGGCTACTCCACATGGCCCCCTTGGCTACTCCACATGGCCCCCTTGGCTACTCCACATGACCCCCTTGGCTACTCCACATGACCCCCTTGGCCACTCCACATGACCCCCTTGGCCACTCCACATGGACCCCCTTGACCACTCCACATGGACCCCTTGGCTACTCCACATGACCCCCTTGGCCACTCCACATGGACCCCCTTGACCACTCTACATGGTCCCCCTTGGCTACTCCACATGACCCCCTTGGCTACTCCACATGGACCCCCTTGACCACTCCACATGGACCCCTTGGCTACTCCACATGACCCCCTTGGCCACTCCACATGGACCCCCTTGACCACTCTACATGGTCCCCCTTGGCTACTCCACATGACCCCCTTGGCTACTCCACATGGCCCCCTTGGCTACTCCACATGACCCCCTTGGCTACTCCACATGACCCCCTTGGCCACTCCACATGGACCCCCTTGACCACTCCACATGGACCCCTTGGCTACTCTACATGGTCCCCCTTGGCTACTCCACATGACCCCCTTGGCTACTCCACATGGCCCCCTTGGCTACTCCACATGGACCCCCTTGACCACTCCACATGGACCCCATTGACTACTCCACATGGTCCCCCTTGGTTACTCCACATGGACCTCCGTGGCTACTCCACATGAACCCCCTTGGCTACTCCACATGGCCCCCTTGGCTGGCTGCTCCCCATGTGGTGTCGCCGTGGCGACACCACATGGGGCTCCGTTGCGTCTCTCCACGGTTCCTCTTGGCTTGGCGATATTGACCAAGGCAGTCGAGTTCAATTCAATGCGCTGCTGTTTCCCGTCGCTGTATTAACTCGTTCATCGACTTCGACGCCAGAGTCGTCGCGGCGTTTTGCTCCCACTGACTCCGTCGCAGCGAGCGGCGGTAGCGAGCGAGATGTCGAGAGTTCCCCTCGGAGCGCGACGGCGTTTCGCGTCCCTCGCCCCCCCGCCCCCCCGCCCCCCCGCCCCCCGTGCCCCCCACTCACTGGAGAACGTGAGGCAGAAGGAGGCGGCCGCTCGCCCCTCCTCGTCCTCGCACTTCCACGCGCCCTGGCGTCGCGCCTGCACGTCCGTGATCTCGACGCGGAGCCCCGAGTCGACGATTCGGACTGGGCTCGACGAGTTGTCCCCCTCTGAGGGGATCGAGGCGCCGTTGAGCGTCCACGTGATGCGGGGGCCCGTGGCCTCCGGCCTCTCGCCCAGCTGACAGGTCAGGGACAGGTTCGACGACGGGGTCACGGGTCCTGGGGGGTCCACGACGATGCGAGCCTTCGCGGAGCAGTCTGCAGGCGACATCGAGAATCGCCGTCGGTGTCATCATCAGCAACGCGTCGGCTTCAATGTCAAAGCGCAGAATCATCGCCGCCATCAATATTAAGAGCAGCATTGTCACATTAACCGTTACCATCTTTACCATCACCATCATCCATTCTCATCATTCACGCTCATCACCATCCACTGTCACTCATCATCATCACCGTCCCCGTCGCGCGCTTAGATTCACGCCAGCACCTGGCGAGACTCGCAGCCGCGTCTTCACCCAGTCCGATTCGACTCGCCACGAGGGGTCTCCCGAGGAGTCCCCCGATGACTCCTCCGAGCCCCTTTGCAGCATGAAGATCCCCGAGTCCGTGAAGCGCAGATTGCTGACGGTGAGGGCGCAGCGCTTCCCAGCCCGCTCCGTGCGCACGCGCTCCGCGACGTCCTGCTCCGCGGGGTCGCCCTTGCACTCGACGTGGTCGGGAATGAAGAGCCACGAGAAGTCGGGGTCCGTGCCCGTGCAGTTCAGGGTCACCGAGCCCCCCTCCGTGCCGCTCGCCTCCGCCAGGCTGAGGGGCACGTGTATGGCCTCGCCAAGGGCTGCAGATGTAAACGGTTATTCATCGATTACAAGCTCACGACGATTGATCGACGCGGCGGCTTCGGTTTCGTGGCGCTGCGAGGCGTCTCCGTCGTGTCTCGGCGCGATGTCCGACGCGTTGGATCCGCGTGGCGCGAGTGTTTTTTTCAGCATTGAATTGTCGGACGTCGCGGCTGAAGAAGCTCCACGTAGCACGCGGAGCCAAACGTCGGACATCGCGCCGAGACAGTCGGAAACAGCCGCCGCGAGAGCGCACGTAGGCGGGGTTATCGCTCGCTCAGCGTCTCGGCGTAGAACTCTTTTTGGTTTCGACGCTGTTGGGTATCATCAATGTTCTCGTCTCAACGGTCAATTCTGGATCGGCGGCATCAGTGCCATAGCGCGAGCCACTGGGCGTGCACCCTCCTGAGCTGTAGGTGACAGTGGCGAGACGTGGCGTGCATTCCACTCCTTCAGAAGGAAAACATCTATATATAACAGGGAACGTTTCGGGCAATATCCCAACTTCGTGTGCTTTAATGGTAAGAATGATAGGTGAAGTTTCGGTAATGTGCTATGAAAAGGGGACGTTGTCCGAAACGTCGTCTGTTATCTATCTTTCCTTTTTAGACCAATGTGTTGAGTTGTTGTTGATTAATATTATGAAGCAGTATTTGTTTAAGCGAGAAAATATATGCAACGGGTTCAACCTTCTGGATCACATCAGCAACAGCAGCAGTAAGCATGCGTGTCAAACAAACTGTTGCCGGACCTGCAGATGATATTGGCAGGAGCATTCGAAACAACGCGTGGAGCCCCATTAGACGCGAAACAAAGAGTAGTGCCGTCGATACAACCCCACAAGTTGATCTCTTCTATTTGTTTATTAACATAGTTCACCTGGATAACACCTTGAGATTGAACCTGAGGTTCGCGTGACTTTAGGGGTTACCATGGAGGGTTGTGGGTAAAAAACAAATAATCCAGCAAGTGGCCAGAAACCCACGTCACGTGCTGTGTTTACCGCGGTCTGCTCAGAGACCGCATTTCCATTACACTTTTGAGGGTTACAAAAACACCTAGGTCAGGTTTCGTGCAAATTAGCACCTTTCACCGGGAAACAAACCCCTGCGTAATCTAATCTCGTCGATCTCGCACATTCGAGCCACACAGAGATGTCAATCAGAGCCAGGACCTCGAGCGGCACGGGAGCGCCGGTCGCCCTGGGCCCTGGCCCGCGGGGAGGAGGGGGGTTCAAGTTTCACACAAGCGCCCGGCGATTGTTTCACGTTGCCCCGCTTCCAAGAATGTCCGGACCATCACCACTCGTCATTATCACCACCACCACTACCACCATCATCATCGTCATTATCACCGCAATCGTCGTCGTTATCATCACCATCGTCATCATCAATCACGATTTATCATTCTCGTCGTTATCACGAGCAGCAGCAGCAGCGGCGTTGTCGGTCTGAACGCTGCTCGGCCGGCTTGGAGTCAGGATTATCGGCGTAAGGCACTACCACTAGAGTACAATATATTAATATGATCCCATGAACAGTCTCATTAAATAGAGAAGTCATTCACAAAATAAGGCGAGATGGATGGGGCTGGGTGCCAAAATAATCCTTGGAACATCGTCCGTGACTGCTCCGGCAGTTATTAATCATCGGGAATGGGTGAGCGCGAGTGAGTGTGATGGAGGGGTTGGAGAAAGGTGGGGGGTAGGGGTGGATAGTGGTGGTCTCCTGTGAGTGTCGCGTGGACCAGGTGGGGGGTAGGTGGTGGGTAGTGGGGGTCACCTGTGAGTGGACCAGGTAGCGGGGTAGGGGTGGATAGTGGAGGTCACCTGTGAGTGGACCAGGTAGCGGGGTAGGGGTGGGTAGTGGGGGTTTCACCTGTGCGTGTCGCGAGGACCAGGTAGCGGGGTAGGGGTGGGTAGTGGGGGTCTCACCTGTGAGTGTCACGTGGACCAGGTAGCGGGGTAGGGGTGGGTAGTGGGGGTCTCTTACCTGTGAGTGAACCAGGTAGCGGGTAGGGGTGGGTAGTGGGGGTCTCACCTGTGCGTGTCGCGAGGACCAGGTGGAGGGTAAGGGTGGGTAGTGGGGGGGGGTCTCACCTGTGAGTGAACCAGGTAGCGGGTAGGGGTGGGTAGTGGGGGTCTCTCACCCTTTGCGTGTCGCGAGGACCAGGTAGCGGGGTAGGGGTGGGTAGTGGGGGTCTCACCTGTGAGTGTCACGTGGACCAGGTAGCGGGGTAGGGGTGGGCAGTGGGGGTCTCTCACCTGTGCGTGTCGCCAGGACCAGGTAGCAGCAGCAGCACGCGGCCAGCAGCGCGCTCCGCAGCATCGTGCGGGGTCGGCGCGAACCGCTCAGCTACCTCCCAACTCAGCTCCCCTCGCCTCGTCCCTGCAGAATCGTTGTGCACAGCCACGCAGGGGAGTCACGAGTGGAGCTCCCTTCACGTTAAACAAATCCTACCTGGTGATGCTGCTGCGTTGGCAGTGGTGCACAAGCACAAACAACAACAACTCAACACACTCGTCAATAACCCTGTGGTCGTGAAAGGAAACAAAGATATATGACGAGTAACGTTTCGGTTACTGGCCCGTATTCATGTGTGCCTTGAGGAGACGTGTCGGGGTAGTTATAGCAGAAACATCAATCAATCAAATGTTATTTCTAAGGCACTATTCGTGCAAAAAAATGCTATACAACGGGCTTTACAGGCATGAACAATAAAAGTGAAATTATACGCAAAATTAAATCACGTTGCAACAAATTTCTAACAAAGATATAAAAAAATAACACATTCAGAAAAATCCTAATTAAAAGCCAGTTTCAAAAAGTACGTTTATAGATTAATTCCAAAAGTGCTTAATGATTCTGAAGCCCTCAGATCGCCTGACAGGCTGTATCACAGGCGAGGACTGTGAACACTCAACGCCGCTTCTCCCTAGGGTTTGGTCCTGGCCTTTGAGACGACTAAAAGACCAGGACCAGAGGATCTGAGGGATCTTGTTGGTTCATATCTTATAAGCATGGAAGACATGTATACAGCTGCCAGACCATTCAACCACTTAAAAACCAATAAAAGCATTTTCAAATTCTCTGACTTTTTCTTTCGTATGGCATTGTGAAAAGCAACAGTTTTTATGTTTCCTTAATGATCGTCATAAATTAATGCAAAGGTTCCTCATCCAGTCCGTTACGTGAGTGTTACGTGAGTGTTAAGTGAATGTTATGTGAGTGTCACGTGAGTATTATGTAAGTGCTCTTTCTGGTTGCCTCAGAACACGTGCCCAGCACGGAATTGTACTGCGCACCAAGAGGCCGAGAAGTTCCCTGTCAGCTCGAAACAAGGAAATGTGAGTCGCGATGCGCCACAGCCTCCGAGCCCCGACCCCTCGGCGCAACACTCCAGCCGCGTCCTCTTGCTCAAAGAGCCGCACTGGCTGGTCACGAACCGCTAGAACTCACCAGTTATGGAACACCTCAAATTGTCCAGTCTCGCTAACGAGCACCCCCACCTGCTCGTGAGTGACCCGACGCAGATCTCTCTCCCTCCCTCTCTCTCTTGGCTTCCATATGATGGGGGGCAACCTGGTGGGCGCAGCCCCGAGCCGCACGCGAACCACGACAGCGACCGAAGCTAGCACTCCGCAGGTGCTCTCTTGTCTCCGCATTGGGCACTCGTCACGTACCGAGTGGACTAGAAGACCCCGCCGCTGCTGCTGATCTACAAGGGACTCAATGGGTTAGCCCCGCAGCATCGACAGGAACTGGATCCGTGTTGACTCTACAACGAGGTCCCTGAGAGATTCGCATCGCCGTCCTCTCAGTACTCGGAGATCAAGGCTCCGTTTCTGGCTTGACCGGGCTGTTATCACTGTGCAGCTCCCAAGGTTTGGACCGCGTTTCCTTTGCTGACAAGACAATCCAAGTCTTTGCTATATTTGAGTCAGTCTTGGAAACTCGCCTCTTTAGCCCCTGTCTAGTCCTGGCGTGTACCCTGATGTCCGTACACGGGGCGCATCTACGGATGAAATTCCGCTTACAAGTGTAAATCATCATAATATTATTATTATGATCATGATGATGTACAAACGGAAAGTTTAAAATTCTCCTCGGGTCAGTGTGCGACGACTGTGGTCACCTCCCCGAACAGAACCGGGCAGCACCGAGCGACTCAGGGCCCCACTCACAAACACGGAGCGGCGGCATCATCCTCCACGCAGCAGCGATGCACCACCACTCCGCGACTCCTCCCGACTCAATCATCCGGCTCATTAACCACCTCGACGTCAACAATCAGCCGCACGGAAAATAAGACGATGAATAGCCGCATAATTGTTATTATGATTGTCAAATCAATTTCACTCATTGATCAAATTCTCACTTAATATAAAGTTTCACGAACGATGACCTCGATAATCATCGTATTACAAATCGGGCTTAATTAATGATCGTTTCCCATGACCGTCTCACTAAATATCAATTAGAACTAATTATAAGGACTCACTAATGATCGTCTCACTCATGATCAATTCTCACCAAATCATCGTCTCAATAACCACTGGCAGACGAGGCATCGTCCAGGCCGCGTGAGATCGTTGTTGCACTGATCATCTCGTCTACCGCCAGCTGCCTTCCCTCGACTCATCTCCCAGCTCCCCCTCACTGCGGTGTCGCTCTCTCGCGCCTCGCCCCCACGGCGCGAACTCGGACGCGAGCAGCTCAGCCGCCACGCGATGACATCGCCACACTGCGAGCGCAACGCGGCTCTGTCTGCAGGGACGGGATGCCGACGGCAGCGGCAGCAGCAGCTGCTGCTTCCAAACCGCGTGAATAAGCCGTCCCTCTAGGAACACGCGCGCAGCCACCACCACCACCAACACCACCGTCGCTACCACCGCCACCACCACCACCGCTACCACCGCCACCGCCACCACCGCCAACACCACCACCACCACCACCAATGACACCACCAAAGACAAAGATCCCCCGTATAGCCTTAATAGACTGTTGGGGCAAGTGCTGTTAGTGAGCACCCATGAAGGCAAGCACGGCACACGAAGGGGTGGGTGGCCAGCACCACGCCCGAGCGCCTTTGTCTCCCTAGTGGTGATATTTACACACCGCACCAGGTTCTCATTTGAGGCTGAGTTGCCACCAACACGACCGCCGCCACTACCGCCTGCTGAAGTACTCACCCACTCGGTCGACTTCTCTTCCAGTCCCTCAATCTCCACGCAGACCGTTTGAGAATGAGGTTCGAATCCCTGGTCGCCGCTGAACCTCGCGTGTCCCGGTTCAAACCCAGGCGCTCAGAACAGTTCCACGTCCCGGTTCGATCTCAGTCCCAGAATCGGAGTTTCCCCGTCCATCTTCGTTCCCCCGTGCCCTCGGTTCGGTGCCCGCTCTCGGTGTGACCCCCTGATCCTGGTATAATTTTTACTTTATTGTATTCCGCTTGGCTCGACCTCGGGTCAGAGCTGAACACCGCGCCTAAGGTGCGGCCTCGCGTCTGGGTGCGAGTCCTCGTGGTCAGCTTAGACCCTTCGCGCCGACCTGGCTCGATGGCCCAACCTCGACCCTCTGTGCCCGTCCGAGTCTCGGGCGCCTCCGGCGCAGCTGCGGCGCTGATCGCCGCCCCCGGCGCTTTCCGCCCGTCCCCACAAAACCGCGACCGCAGAGACCCGCTGACGTCACCGCGCGACTCACAGCGAGGTGACCGGCCACGGAAGGACCATTTCCCGAGCCGTCAGCCCTGTTATTTATACATCCCCATACAACGTGAGGGCGGTGTGTGTTGTCATACAATAAATTATGCAAATAGTTACATTTATATTTTCTGATATTATTTCATGGGTTTTGGCCTATCCTGCCGTACCAGTCTTTGGGGTTGTTTGGCCATACTTGAACACGATGGTCAATGAAGAAGGGGAGAGGGGGGAGGTTCAGCTATCAGTCGCCGCTGATGTTAGCCATGGCCGGGAATCGAACTCGGGTCGTAGTGGCACCAGCGCCTCTAATCCAGCACTGTGGAGGCAACGTTTGGTGGATCGCACAAATGTTGCGAAATTCCCGTCCCGTGGGCATCGAAGTGGATCCGTAGATGAGCTCGCCAAGATGTCCGCAACTGGACTTATGTGAAAACGAGCTTTACAGCGCATCGGATTTCTCCGGTGTTCATATTTTGATTCACATTCCGAATACGGCACCGCAGATGTGACTCCACCTGTTCCATCTCGATGCCCCCTCGCACGCGTGAGTTTTTTTTACCGGGTGCTTCGGTTTTCTTGGGCAATTGTTGGTGGGGTTGGATCCTCACCACCGCGTGGCTGCTGCTGCCGCTCGTATGTGGTTCCTCCTCACGGCACCTCTGAGTCGTCCTCTCTCGAGGAGAGCGCGAAGCTGACACCGTGCCGTGATGACGCGGTGTTACGAGTTGTAAAAATTGCATATTTTATTATTGTAAGCAGTATTACTGCTCCACCACAAATAGTAAATTACGGACTGCAATTAGAAACGATTCTACGCGAGTTTGTAATAAGACAGCGGTTACAGACGACAGTTCGCGAGATGTGTATATTATTTACAATAGGAGAGGCCACGGCGAGCAGTGGAGGTCACTCTTTATGTATAGAGGAGGTCAGAGTTGAGAGGCATGAGATGCGTGTGGGGTCATCAAGGTCACTTTGTCTCGGGCTGCGAACTCGCCGTGGGTGCACGCCCAGGGGCCCCGTGGGGGTCGCGCTCGGGGTCACGGGGTCACGGGGCCGCACGTCGCGACGACGATGACGACGTCGCGACGCCCGCGTCACCTCTGACTCCTCCGCGATTCCGAGAAATCCGCGCCCCTCCGCCGCGTGGCCTCGTAGCTCTGTCGTTGTTTCACTGCTCATCGCCTCTCGTTCACGCCCCACTCCCGCGCCTTCTCTCGCTCCTCCCTCCCAGTCCGAGTCGCGCCAGGCGGATGCTGCCCGCCCTGCGCAGCGCAACTTGACGTGCTCCCATCTGGCGCTTCCTTGACCTGCCCAATGCCTGCCCAATGCCTGCCCTCAGCAATAGCTCTCTCCTGCCCCCCCCCCCCCCGCGTCTTGCCCAGCTGTGGCGCTGTGAGTGGCGTGACGTCTCGGAGAGCTGGCTGGTGTTGGCAAAGCGCGTGGCCTGTGGAGGCAGTGTGGAGGCCGTGAGCGTTGGTGGATCACACACAGATGGGCTGTGAAACTCCCCTTCCCCCCGTGCGTGGGCGTCAAGGAGGTACCATACCCTGGCTCGCCAGGAGAAGGCAGTACAACAAGTGGACTAATCGCCATCTATTTCCATCTGTAGGGGGATGGAGTGTTGCCTTCTCGCGTAAGACGCGGGTTTTCTCTGGGTGCTTCGCTTTCCTCCCACATTTGAATAAGAAACTCAGGCTCATCATTAATTGGCTAAAAACATTTTTACAAAATAAAAACCCCAGCGGCAGGATCCTCCACTGAGTCCTACGACTCAGTGTGGCTCCCCTGGATAAATACGCAAATCGGTGCTCCTACGGTGGAAAGCGAAGCCGGATTTGCGTGCGCGCGGGGGGGAGATAAGGGCCCCGCGCGGCGCGTGCTCGTGGAGAGATAACGACGCGGAGGCGGCGCGCGGAGGCGGCGCAGTGAGGCAGCGCGCGGAGGCGCCGTTGCCGCGCGGGGCGAAGGGGAGGAGCAGGAGGAGGGTAGCGAATTATGGGGTGGGGCACGGGCGGAAGTGCTGCTGGCGGTAGTGGAGGTGGTGGTGGTGGTTGTGGCTATGCCGCACGCGGCCTGTAATCCAGCCGCGAGGGTTGTTGGTAAAACTCAATTTCCCGTGGGTGTCGAGATGCACGAGCCGTATCCTGGCTCGCCAGGAGATGGCGGTACAAAACATGTGGACTCCATCTGTTCCATCTGTATGTAGATAGAGTGTTTGCCCCTCGCGCATGGCGCGGGTTTTCTCCAGGTGCTCCTGTTTTATTCCCACATGTAACCACTCACTTGGCAGATAACACCTTCATATATAGTGGACCGCAGAACTTGGGCATTTTTGGGTAGCGCTGGCTCACCGCAAGGCTGCTGCTGCCTCCCCGCTCGTCTGTGGTTCCTCCTCCTCATGACGCCTCTGCGTCTCTGTCGGTCTGCGTCTCTGTCGGTCTGCGTCTCTGTCGGTCTGCGTCTCTGTCGGTCTGCGTCTCTGTCGGTCTGCGTCTCTGTCGGTCTGCGTCTCTGTCGGTCTGCGTCTCTGTCGGTCTGCGTCTCTGTCGGTCTGCGTCTCTCTCCGAGAGCGAGCGAACAAGCACCGTGGGTTGGCGGCGCGATGCGAGTCAACATTTCCGTTATTACAAACACTCGAGCACAAGCCAACCAAATACTAGAGCCACCCTTAGCCATTACCCAGATAGCCAAGCATTCATTCCCACCACTACCAAGGAGGCAGCCTATCCAAAGGAAACAGACCTCCGACCATCCCAATCTCATTTAACAAAATAGTCAACGCACTCCACGTATTTTTCTAAAAAAAATGTTTTACACATCTCATCAGCCAAATGTTTTTTTGTTCAGCTGCATTGGTTCAATACACAAACTGATCTTAGTTATCCAGCCAATAGGCTACGAGCCACGACCGTATCTCTAATTAACCAGCCACTCGTACCATTCCTACCCTAACCAACCAGCCACTAGTACCAACTCTATGAGGGGCGCCACAGTGGCGAGATGTTAACTACCTCGCAGGAGGTCCTGGCTTCGATCCCGACCCTGACGCCTGCTCTATATTTTGAGTTTGATGTTCTCCCCGTGGTTGCGGGGATTTTTCTCCAAATCCTCGGGGTTTTCCCCTCCACATTTAGAAACATGCGTTTTAGAGTATTTGGCTGCTAAATTTCGATTTAAAGCTTTCGTGACTGCAGGGATCCATCTTCTTGGTTCTTTCGGTAAAGTCACGTAGAAGGGAAGCAATAAAATAATAAAAATAAAACATAATAAAATAAAATAATTCTCACGACGTTTCGGCCACAACGCAAGCAGCCGTCCTCAGGTGCGTTGTGGCCGAAACGTCGTGAGAATTATTTAATTTTATTATGTTTTATTTTTATTATTTTATTGCTTCCCTTCTACGTGACTTTACCGAAAGAACCAAGAAGATATTTGGCTGCTATACATTTCCCCGTGATAAGCCACTTTGTTGACCTATCATCTGTGGCCAGGTCGCTTATAAAAAGAGCCATACAGCTCAGTGGGCTGTACCTGGTAAATCAAAATATTTTTTTTTCCTAACCCTGATTAACCAGCCCACCAGCGACTATGACCTAACATACTCCTAACCCGTTCTCAACCATTTTATTTGTTCCCTTCCTATTGCCCATAGCGCCCCCCCCCCCCCCGCAGTCAACAGCACGAGGTGCCCGTGGGGCAGCAGCAGCAGCAGCCGCCTGGGAGAGCTGCCCCCAGGGCGTGCACGCGGGCAGGAGGAGGCGCAGGAGGAGGCGCAGGAGGAGGCGCGCCACCTGCTGGCACGAGGCGAGGAGTGTGATTCGAGAAAAGCCCCGCAGGTGACTCGACCGCCGCCTACTGGCAGCCTGGACCCATCGGCAGGCCGGAGCTGCGTTCACTCTGTGTGTGCGTTAGTCGACGGATGTCCGTACCACTCCATTGTCGCTTTACGAGTCTCTGGGTCTCAGTGAGCGTCTAACTCCACGTGCAGGGCGGTACCGCGCGCACCTTCGTGCCGCGCTTAGGGGCAGCTGCCACCGGGGGTCTCCTATGGTAGTCTGCCGCCGGGCAATGCGATGGTGAAGACAAGAAGTGATTGTAGACGCTGAGAGTTGCTGATGCATTGAAGCGAGCTCCTTGTACGAAGTGCTTGCCTGTGCTTACCTGTGCTTACCTGTGCTTACCAGTGGCTGGGGGGAGGCCTGAGGCTCTGTGAGCTATCGAGGTCTCCGCAACTCACAAGCCGGCCGTGTGGAGGAGGTTAGTGATGGGTTCCCACGAGGATTGTGAAACCCAGTAACGGGTAAACCGGTTACAGCTTTTGTAATCGGTTACTGGTTCAGAAAGTCAGGAAACGGTCCTATTTTTTGCGTGTGTAATGTTGATGACTGAAGTGATGTGGGTACCCTCACTTGACTCCACCACACGTGACCTGCGTGTCACGGACCGTGTTGAACCCACTTGGTACCGCTGAGCGGACAGAGTTTGCGGGGCAGGGCGCGGGAGATTTCAGAATCGACTCCCATTGTTTCAGATGCCGTGCCGGGAGATCGAATCGAACCGGAGTCCTCTGGGTCGCAGGTCCAGGCACGTGCTGCTCACCATTACTCCTGCACTGCCGTAGCTTCGTTTCTCAGGGCAAGCGTTCATTTTTATTGTTGGGCATTTATTTATTAGCGTGCGGCAAACCGGTAACAGCAGGGCTGGGAATGTGAATACATGGTTGGGGAACTCATCAATGATTCCCCACACCCCCCACTAGATCTGATGAGGTTCGCCCGTGTGTCTATGGGTGCCTGTTCGTGTCTGTGGGTCTCTGTGTGTGCCTGTGGGGTTTTATGGGTCTCTGTTCATGTTTGTGGGTCTCTGAGCGTGGTTGTAGTTTTTTGTGGGTCTTTGTTCGTGTCTGTGGGTCTCTGAGCGTGCCTGTGAGTTT